ATTCAGTGAAGCAATTGATGAGTCGTACTAGCTTGATGCACGACGCTTGGTGGCTTGCAACCAGTCATACCCGTACCTATAGGATCGGTACTTGCCTGGATGCTGGATTAGTGTTTGTTATGAGCAAAGTTACCTAGGGAAGTCTACATGCCAAAATTGACGCTACCGCTCCCTAAGTCCCCTCCCTGAGCCTGGAAATCTTTATCCTTCAAGTTTTCGGGACTTTACAAGTTTACAGCCAGCGGTCAGCAATCTTCCCTTCTTTTTTTTTTCTTTCTTGCTTTCTTTTTTTTTTTTAAACGCGTCAAATCATCACTTGACGCGCCTTCTACAACGCTACCCTACACCGTAAGCCTTGCATACCCCTAGTCGATGGTGTTGGGCCACCGCGCCCTTCCCTTGAGTACTGGACCAATGCCGCGCAAGCGTCGGAGTGGGGACTGTCAGCACTGAGAATCCTGCGTCACACGAGCCAAGCCGATGCCTAGTGAGATCGGAGGAACTTTCCAGGCACCCAACAAGCTTTCTGACAACCATCTGACAGCCAGGGTATGGATTGCGCCATGTTCGAACAACGCTTGCTGTAGACAGTTGCTGTGCGCTTACAGCTGGCCCACGCAGGCAGAGTTTCGTGGCGCCAGGTGGTGCTTTCAGTAGGTGTACGTGGGCGGTTGGTGTAACGTAAGCAGAGGAACCCCAAAAATTGTCCCAAGTGAAAGTCGTGTACTTGCCCTCCAGGTTGGGTAAGACGACGCGCAAGTAACGACAGACAGCCGAGCCGAATGACGGAGTAAAAGTCGGAAATTACAATTCACGGCAATGCACTTGATCTGCAGGTAGGTGCGTGCATGCGAGTCCTCGATTGCCTGTTCAAGTGCTTTTTCCTTGCAATGCGTAGTCCTTTTTTTTTCCACAGGCACCGAAAAAAGGTGACGGCACAAAAAGCGCAGTCGTATCTGCTTCCCCGATTAGGCAACGGTGAAGGAGTCACTCACTGTATGTAAGTGTGGGTCGCACCTTACTCTTTTTTTCTTTCTGAAGGTGAGGTGGAGCTCAGTCAAGCCGGACCCGCGTACCTGGTCCGGTACCCACACTGCCGCGAGTCCGGGGAAACATTTTCCTTCCTGCTGTTGATTTCCAATGACTACGAAATGCACATCAGCCTGCGATGTTATTCTTTTGGGACAATCTGACATATAAAGGACCTCGGTTTGCCACCAACATGGCCGAAAAAAGCAGGCAACAATTTCAACCTTATCCGCGTCAACGCATCATGTCTGTCAACGCCGCCCTACCCCCGTCCCAGCGGGGCCAAAAAACAGCTGGATCCCGGTCAGATTTGATGGATGACCTCAGCAAACGGCTTGAGAGCAACCCGTATGATGCGACAAGCAACCCCAAGGGCATCATTGATCTTGGGTCCGCTGTCAATGAGATTATGCTGGAAGACTTGGCCTGCTGGACGAAGCGAAATATCAAGAAGAGCCAACTCAAGGAGTGTAAGTGATTCCGCTCCAACGCTATTCAGCACGTCTACGCAGCTAGCTCGCTGATGCCATTTCCAGCCCTTGGCTACGGTGACGCCCAAAACTCCCAAGACCTCCCAAAAGCAGCAGCAGCTTTCATGAACGAACACTTCAAAGTCCGCCTACCCCTAACAGCCGACAACATCCTCGCCGCAAATGGCGTGACAACACTCCTCGACGCCCTCACCTACAACATCACCGACGCAGGCGACGCCGTGCTTCTCGCGACGCCCTCGTATGGCATGTTCGCCCACGACGTCTGGACTCGGAACGGCGTCCGCGTCGTTGAGGTACCATGCGACGACATCCCCGAGGAGCGCTTCTGGGGCGAGCCGCCGCGCGAGGACGGGCCGGTGCCGGTGCCCGAGCTGGTTGTCCGGCTCGAGAACGCGATACAGGTCGAGTTGAGCCAGAAGCGCAAGGTTGGGGGTGTCTTGTTGGCGAATCCCGACAACCCGATGGGCCGGTGTTATGCTGCCCATGTGCTGCTGCAGATTTCGCAGCTGTGCGCGAGGCATAAGATCCATTTGATTGTCGATGAGGTATACGCCATGAGTGCTGGGGATCGGTTCTCCAGTATACTGAGTCTGGGGCTGGATGTCAACTTTAGGAACGTTCATGTGTTGTGGGGGTTGAGTAAGGTGAGTTGCCATCCCTGCACGGAGCCGTTCTGCCGGGAGTGTGGGGACCCTTGCCCATCGCGTTCGGCTTCGGCTTCGGAGGAGGAATCACGAACACAACCGACTGACTCTTTTCTTTCCACCCCTGTAGGATTTCGGCCTCGGTGGGCTCAGGATCGGCTTCCTGGCGACGTATAACAAGGAGATTTACGATACCATGCGGGCGTCGAGGTGAGTCACCCAGCCTTTTCGGCTTACCAACACACGGTGTACTCCGTACGCCCTACCAAGCACACCAGGCTAACGATTCCGCATCTACAATCAGCACATTCGGGTGGGTCTCTGCACTCAGCGCATCAACAGCCGCAAAACTCCTCTCGGACGCAAAGTACCTCCGCAACCAATACCTCCCCCAGTTCCGTCGCCGCCTGACCAAGAGGCGCACTTTTGTCGAGGAGGAGTTGGAAAAGTACGACATCCCGCACGTCAAAGCCGAGGCGGGCTTCTTTGTGTTTGTCAACTTGTCCGAGTGGGTGGATCTCCTGCTCGAGAAGCACGGCAAGCAGGGGGATTTGAAGTTTGTGGAGTACTTGATGAAGTACCGCGTCTATCTTGAACCCGGACAGGTGAGTTTGACGGTGTCTGTCGTGTGCCAGAGATGCTCCAGTGGTTTGAGCGGACCCAACGATGCACAGTTTGCTAATGATAGGTGATGCGCGGCAGGCATTCTTCTCCAACCGGTCGGGATGGTTCCGACTCAATTTCGGCGGGGAAAAGGAAACGTTCAAGCTCGGTCTGCAGAGGCTGTTCCAGTGTCTGAGGTTGCTTGACGGCAAGGACCACTTTGATCCAACAATCGGCCTTCCTGGGATCTATCATCCTCCGCCAAAAGGGAGTCATATCGTCGCAGTGTGAGGAGAGCAAGGTGATGGTATTGAGCATGTTTTGGGTACAAGAAAAAGTCGCCGGAGGAAGGACATCAGGGAAAAGCTGAGGATACCCTTCCCGAGAGTCCGATCGCTTCGGAGGCGGCACGGTGAGAGTAGCCGGAGCTTGACATGTCGCGGCGAGTCAACGCTGCAGTTGCATGAGACTTTTGTCAGCCAATGTGCACTACACACATCTCCGAGGTTGTGCATTGCTCTTTATTTCTGGGAAAATTGATTGACGGGAAGCGAGGTCTTCGGATCGACGGCGTTGACCGAAGTGTCGGGTTTCTCTGGGGGAGTTTTTGTGGATCGTCTGATGTTTCTGTCCCATATTTCCCTCGCGTTCGTCTTGTTTTATGTCGATCTCGGACTTGAGGCCGGTTGCGTGATCGACGTCTGAACCGTCTCTTTTGGTATTCTGGGTCGAGTTTCAAGGTTGGATTGCATACAAGGAGCCGGCGAGATGGACAGTACATGAATTGTATCTTGAATGACAGTGCCTATCGGGAAATGGTGATCTCAAGTGACTTGGTCTGATTTATTCCAGTGTCTCTAAGATTACGAAAGGTGCGCTCAGTCCCTCAATTGATGGACCAGGTACCTCTCGGTTGCATGTTCTTTTCACCTCAGGCTTAGTTGTAAACAAAGACGTTGGTCTATTGACAATGTGAACAGCAAGATTTAGAGTTTGCCCTGCTTTCTGATGACTCCCTGTAGTTGATTGCCTCGAGTCAACACACCTAGTTTCAGTCAAAGACGGCGAGTCAGCAGTCATCACCACCATCTCGGTCTGTAAGTGAATACAATATGACACGAACATGCATAAATACAAAGACATCAGCTCTTGCACAAGATAGAATAATTGCAATCTACTCTTCGTTATAATCTATCAATTGCTGGCATTTGAACATATTAATCCTACTTCAATACTACAGACCGCCATCATGCGTTTCTCAGCTCTAGCCCTCCTTCCATTCCTAGCCACAGCTGTCATTGCTCAACAAAAGGGAGATAAGGGTAGGTTCATGATCCATCATTTCTACATCTCAGTGACCCAATAAAGGCCAAGAAAGCTGTACTGACCTAGAGTTATCTAGGTGAATGTCGGAATGACGCCGACTGTATCAGATGCGTAAACGGCGTCACGCCACTCATTTGCAAGAGTAGGCACTACTGCCCCCTTCCGCCAGCCTGACCGGATGGTCTTGAGTTGCTGATGGTTGAATCATCTTGCTAATGCTCTGTCGGTCTAGCTGATGCCACCTCAACAACTGGAAAGCGGTGCGGTGTTACGGGCGGGCCTTGTCGTCCTATCAACAAGAGGAGGTGGCAGGAGCGTATGATTTGAAGGAGATTGATTTACGGTACCCAAAGGCGTTGTTATTTGTATCCATGCGTAGAAATGCGGAGCCAGTGTGCCACTTGTATAGCTTGCCTCCTTCCTCAACAGGAATGGAGCAACACTTGTTCAGCTAGCCTAATGGCATGGCGGGAGGTAACCGTCGTTGGGAATGAGTTTTGCGACCACAATAGGTCGAAGGCTCAGGGCCAACTCCTCGGGTCGCTCCTTGGGTTACCTGATGACCTTTCATCATCTCATTCTTCCGGCGCGGACGTATAATTTCCCCTGGGTATGCCTAGATGTTGTAGAGATTTCGTCTATGCGTAATGAAGAAATCGAAGTATCTCTTTCTACCGCGGTTAATATGTTTACGACAGAAGTGTCTTGAGAAGCTCAACTTGACAGGAATCAGCCCCTCTTGTAGGCGTTATCACAGCCCTTATAGTAGGCCATCCTCAACCATCTCGTCACTTGCAGACAAGTCTTTGGCGGGGCGGGCTAGTTCTGGTTCCATTCCGATTATTTGAGTGTACCGGAGGGGCATGAGTCATCGAGGCTCACATCTACAGAATGAAGCTGAATCCTATCCAATCTTATTATATCCAACATGGTTGAAGTAGCTGAAAAGTATCTCCTGTCCGGTGATGCTGCCATGCTGCTCTGCGGCCTCCATATCGATCATACTATGAGTCACGACGCCAGTGATGGCATTGGTCAGAGCAGCGGCCAAGGCGGTGGCCGTAGCCTCGACATTTTTGTCCTTGCCCTTCTCGGTCTCCCGGTCCCTGGGATTTCTGATTTGAATCTGGTGAAGTTGGGCGCCTTCATAATGACGAGCCTGTGGTGTGCGCGGACAGTCTCCTTCTTCGGGGCTTGAAGGGTGCCCTGCACAATCTTGAAGACATCTAAAGAAATCCCCTTCTTCTGTGGCTGCTGCGGCGACTTCACAAGTCCTAATGGCAAAGAAACATCAGATTACTGAACATTACGATTGTGTATTTCCATGACTTACAAATTGGCCGGTGAACGGGCGTGTGTTCAGGTAGTGCTGGCGACGCCTTGTAGAGCGTCTCCAGCGTAAAAGGAGTCTGGGCCAAGCATAATTGCAGACGGAGTTGTTAGTCGCAGGGCCCGGGTACATCTATCTACGTCCTTCTTGCAGGAGTTGTTCTGGTATGCACAGTCAACGCAGCGCAAACCCTTTCCTGTAATTTCGTCAGCAAGAGAGGCGCACAAGCAGCTGCCCGGCACTTACCATGTCGTTCACGACACTCGGGATCTAGTTCGAGGGCTTTGCACCCGACGACGGGGATAGTGGAAGGGGAGGCCTCGAATAGCAGCGACAGCGGCAACCTTCTTTGCCTTGCGTTTCCGGTTGTACATGATTTCCGTAAGTAGAGCTACAAAGATCGATACGAGAGCACGAGGAATGAAGCCAGAGGATAGAAAGCCGGCTTGCCAAGGCACTGAGATATGCGTGCGCGACCCTGTCGGACCTCCTCAGTCGGTATGATATAGCTGCCAACACCGGCGCCGAGATTCAGACCGGGGAAAGCCTCGAGCGATCGTGGCTATTTTCGCTGAAACTCTGCATGAATTTCTAAATACGAGTAGTGGAAATCAATTGAGGCAAAACGGGGAAGGGCAGCGCTCGGTAGTGATCTTGTAAAGCCAAGCCGCGACCTCCAGCAAGAGATCGGCTGGTGAGAAAGACCGCCTGTAATGATGGGACGTAGAGGATATGTAGACCCGGGGCCGTCATCGGCGAGGGCCACTAGCCACATCTCGGTGCGATCGATTTCGCCTGGACTGGGTATGCCGTATACTTTGGGTTTTACCTGTCAAGAGACCAAACCTCGACCGCTATCACAGCGGTGACCTGTTTCAGCCGCAAAGTATAAAAGAGGCTAGAGTCGCTTGGATAAGAAAAGAGAGTCGAGGCAAGGTCGTTTAGGATTCTCGCGAGGGAGGCCCCCCCGGCAACAACTACTCTTTTGGTAGTGGCAATACGAGAGGTGATGGTGACGGGACTTCCGGCCTCGAGGACCTCGATGGGACGTAGAAAGATTTGTATATCCTAGCTGGCGGTTCTTATGCCAGAGTCACACCACAATGTACTCTCTATGGCCCGGGGTGTGAGGTATTGCCTGATGTGACGCTCGCGAACAGACTAAGTCAGTAATTGCCAGGGCTATAATGCTCGAGTGTTGACAAGTATTGCCTTTCTCAGAACAGGAGCCAACCGAGTCCTTTACCATATCGATGAGAGAAGCTTTTTAAGCAAATTGTCCTTCAATGGGTGCTATATTAGCTTCAGGTTGGCGGCATTAGTGCCGCCAAGGTAGTTCCTATGGCGTGTTGCTGAAAGACAGATGCATGCCGTAGGTGCTCAGGTACCACAGAGCGACCGTACTCTAGCCCGGGGATCCGTGAAAAAGACCGCGGACTCTGCGGGGGCTGACCTCGAAGTACTCCTAAAAAGGGTCGTAGTCTGGCAAGTAGAGGAGGAGCGTTTCTCCCAGATCCTAGCAGTTAGGCATTATCCAGACGCGCTCATCTTCAGGCCAAGCCTTCTAAATAATATAGTAGAACAGTCTCAGATAAGCGGCTAAGCCGCAGATATGGTTAACCACCGGCCTTGCAATAACCAGGGTCAAGTAATCGTAACGCTCCTCTAAGAGAAAATACAAACATCGCCGAGAGTTCGTTCTTGACACAGTGGGCCTCGTTAACTATAATGCGATGCCCAAAGGGAACTTTAGTCAGGTGCAAGGAAAATGTACATTGAAGGTGAGAATGGTGTACAGAAGACCCAGACACTGAATAGGAGCTGGATCAGTTATGAATGGCATTCGGTCCCGGGGACATGGTTTATGTGTGAATGGAGCAGTTTTGCGGAAATGAGAGACATGTTGTATGTGTGAGGAAGGGAGAGAAGCTCCAAGGCCAAGGCTGGGGATATAATTGGACTGAGGCCCACCACCGCGCTCAGCTATTGTAGAGGGGGTATCACCATAAACAAATCCTCAGGACCACCAGACGCCTGGGATCCATAATATTGGTGGGCTTTTTTCCTTGACCGAACATAAACAGAAGCTGTTGGTCTGTAATAAGGGGATATAAATACTTGACAGAATTTATCAATTGCTTCTTCATGTCTCTTTATGACTCTAACTTATCTATGGGTTTGTCCCGAATCATTCTTGTTCTTTGTCGAATTCAGCTTGTGTGCTATTGTGATTGGCAGATTGTCCGCAATGCACCTCTAAGCAAAGCCAGCAAACCAAGCCCCAACTGATACCACCCAAACACTGGATAACAAAGACCAAACCAAATGAACATGAAAGCATTCCTCCGCACCATTTCTATGATTGATTTATCAGAAGCCATTTCTTGTAAGCGGCTAGTTCACATGCGACGCAGCTCCGTCATGAGCTCCGCTTTACGAGACGTAGCCTTGATAAGATCCCATTGCAGAGCCACCTTCTCGTCCTGAGATCTAGCAAGCAGAGAGTGAAGAGCCTCGTTCTCAGCGCGCAGCTTATTGACCTCAAGTCGCATCTTCTCAATGGCAGCGCTCTGGTCGTTGTTCTTGGGAGTTGCACCAGAGGCAATGGGGCTTTGCTGAATTCTAGCAGACGGAACATTATCGTACCGAGCTCTAAGAACCGGGTTCTTGGTGACCGGAGTTTTGGCGACCGGAGTCTTCTGGACAATAGTGGCGGAGGGACCGTTGTAGGGGAAGGCTGGGTTCTGCTTGTACGCGCGGGCAAAGTCGCTCTCTCGAACGAAGTCGCTCAATCTGTCGAGGCTGCGAAGAAAGCGCTTGAGCTCTGTGACGGCAGTTGGCTTGCAAGAGTAAGGCTTTTCCCAATGGGCCCAACGTGCGTACAGAATGGTACCTATGACACCACCAATGTCCTTGCCGCAGAAAGGGACGCAGCGGAATGTACCCAGACGAATGAGCTTCTCCATAGCGAGATCCCAGGCAGATTCACTCACACTGCCAAAGATGGATTCCGGGTTCTCGGCAACCCACAGGGCTAGAGTGATAAGGTCATGGCCGCGATTCGCAATGACGATTTTGCGATCAATGTCGACTTGCACCGCCTCGTCTTGCTTCTCATAGCGGTCGCAGACAATATTGATGAATGCCATTTCGGTTTTTGGGGTCGGCGTGCCGTTCTCACCAAAACTCTCCTTGAACCTTAGGCCCGGGAAGGTCCTGAGCGATTCGTACCATTGAGGCTTAGCTTCAGACTGAGAGGTCTTGGGGTTGGAGGATTTGTTGGCCATCTTGGGTGTTGATTCTTTCAAGAACGAGTTAGTCCTGCGAATTCACCGAACCTCGAAGCTTGTCGAGTAGTTGTTACCTTAATATTAAGCAACGCTGCTGGAGGAGAAGCAAAGCGTGAAGTGGCGCGCTCTCCTTCCGATCCAGGGTGTGCTCAGAAATCGGGATGTGAAAAGAATCGGAAAGCAGGGCACGACAGCGGTGTCAGAGATGGATGGATTGCAAAGTAAAGTACAGTAAAGATGAGCAAGGCGAAGTGATGAGTTGACGCGACTTTCCCTAGCCCGGATTGCGGAATTGGAATGGGGAAAGAAGAGACAGGATTGAGATGGAGGGTGAAGAGGAAAGTATAGCGCAAGAAAGGCGGCAGAGATGGAGGATGTGCGATGTAAACAAAAGAGGGGGGGGGGAGGGTAAGGGGGTGAGTGTTGGTGAATGCGGCTCGACGCGACGCGACGGGCACTGTGAATATACGCGGCGGGGGTATGATTCATCGAGAAGGAGCCATACGGTCACCGGATATGGTCTATAAGTCAGAAGATTGCTAAAATCATCACCCATCGGATGAGGAGATGCCTTTGGCGTGATAGTTGGGACTGCCCACTCCCGACCTCAGCGCTAGGTAATTGACCCCGGTGGCTTTCTATTTTTGGAGGTCATGAGTTCGATTCATGTATAGTGACTCTTTTTTCTTCTCTCACCCTTTCTGTTTTCATCTAGTCGTCTGGCTGTGACATCGTGAGCCTCGACGTAGACCCATAGATGCCTCCAGGGTAGAGTAGCTGGCTTAGGTGCTTCAGTAAACAGATGAACGAGTATTCTTTCCATATTCCACGCGGTCATTATAGAAAAAGACAGACACTCGCTAGGTGGATTCATCCTCGTTACTATAGACGACGGGAGGTAGAAGGGATGGGCCGGTACATCTGAACAGGGCGATGGCCTCGGGCAAGTGCCATTATTACTAGAGCTAGAATCCTTACTGAGGCTCATTTTTCCAGGGCATCTTCCATCCAGAGTACTCATCACAAGTTATTGAAGCGTAGTCAGGTGCAGAAGGATAATCTTATTTGCCGGGTCGATTTACTAAAAGCATGAGACTGCCTCCAAATTCAACCGTCCAGTCTCTCACTCTTCACCCAACCCATCCTCTGCATTGTTATTGGCCGTCTGTAGACCGCAATCACCAGATTCGGCGGCGAGCATTCTTCGCCTCATCGAGCTCAGCGCGAAGTGCTTCGTTGACGAGTTCAAGAGTTTCCTGCTCTTCGCGATGAGCGATGTTCCTGTTCTCCAGCTCCTGGGACTTAGCCTGCTCCGTTTTGATCTGGGATTGCAAGTCCTGGATCGTCTGATCACGGCCGTCCTGGGTTCTGGGCTTGGCCTCCTTTAGATTGCCTGCTGTATGTTAGTGGAAAGTCTCAAAACATAGCCTAGAATGAATGACGGAAGGTGACTCACCTAACTCAATCTCAGGATAAGGACGAGGACGGTACGGCAGATTGGTCTGATTGGCTGTAGGCGCATCAGATGCGGAGGCAGTAGCGGCGTTGTAGGGATGAGGGCGGTACGGCAAAGAGATTTGGCTGCCGCCAGGCGCAGTGGACTCGGAAGAAGTGAAAGCTCTCATCTTGCGTTCGTCGAGAACTGCGATCCACTCATCAAGAGTGGCAAGAAAGACTTCAACGACCGGGTTGAGCTCGTCGATGTCGGTATTGTCGTCTCTCAGATTCTGGATGCGGGCGCGAATGATTCGGTCAACGACGAAAATGACCGAATCAATTCCGAGCTCACTGGAGTCCTCCCACTCGCGGGAAGGGCCAGACTCCTCAGCAAGGCGGGTGAGGGCAGCGCCGTACAATGTGCTGAAGTTCGCATGTTTGCCGGAGACGTACAGGTTGATGATGGCGCGGAAGAGGACATTGCCCCGGTTGGCAATGTAGTGCTGGCGAAGAGTGACGTGCTCCCTTCCGTGGAAAGACTCATTGTTGCCGAATAGCTTAAGGTAGACGGCATTGACGCGACGATTGAAGAGGGGGGCATCGCCTTCAATGTAGAAGTCGAGACCTGGAAATTCCAGGATCGCCTTGACCCAAGGACGATTATTGGGGGCCATTGCGCTTCTTTGTTCTGGTAGGCTGTAGCTGATGATGATGATAATGTTGTTGTTATTGTTACTGCCAACTGCCCCGGTTGGAGGAGAGTGGAAGCAGGAAATGAAACAGGTCAAGTTGAGAAGAAGAGTGGAAGGTCTAGACGCGAGGTGAAAATTCGTCTCTTCCTTCTCTGTTAGCGATAATCAGGATTGCGATGAAAACTTTCGTCGCGTACCTAGGCGGCTGAAGGCTCACCTTGAGTTAGGGCTGGCGAAAAGCTCATACAAGAGGTGAGTGGATCATATGAATACGACGACGAGCTCAGAAATCAAAGAATACACATAGAGTAAACACCGATACAGGTAAGCTGTTTATCTATCCATTTTTGCTAACCAAGATCGGCCATGTTGAGACACGAAGAAATAATGACATCGAATAAGGTAGATTTTACTGGAACAAAGTATCAAAACACCATCTGCCACCGGTCTGCATCTTGAGGTCTCATAGACAGCTTTCACAGCGTGAACCTCGCCAAGAAGGAAGAAAAAAAGATTCTAAAAAGGGACTCGAACTCACGACCTGCAAAATAGAAAGCCACCGGGGGTCAAGCTGGTGGCGCTGAGGTCGGGAGTGAGCAGTCCCAACTATTACGCCACGAGGTCTCCTCGTCCGATGGTGACAGATCGAGAGCAAAAGTTGTATATATGGCCCGACGGCGTCACAGTGTCTCCACAATTACTGAAAATGGCAGGAGGAAAGCGCTCCTATTGCATGCTGACGGACATTCCCCAGGTAGTAATTTCCTATGATCGAAAATCTCCATGCAGGCATGTGCCTCGTGCTGCCCTCACTTGGTTAGACGTAATGACTTTGATGACACGCCTTATTTCAAGCACCGGTTCGCTATCTACCTTACCTTAGTACAATACCTCGGTATGCCTGATTACTCGCCTGGAGCTCTCTCTTGGATGGATGGTGGGTCGTCTGGAGGAGAAGGTTTGCGGGCGCGATTATGTAATAACCCCTGTTTCCACAATGTTATTCCAACTACATCCCTTCGCGTTGCGACAATTCCTTCGCTGCCTCCAACTCAGGAAAGTTTCTTTGATTGGGTTCTTATTTACGAAAAAATCCGGTTTAAAAGAAAATTGCTCTGTTTACTACCAGGAATCACCGTTCACGATGCCGAGATGTGTGTCCCTGTCCCGCCAAGGCCATGCCCAGACTTCCAAGTCTCCCCTCACCACTCATTTTCCGTCCTGATTCTCGCACATCTCGAGGCAAATGATGCACTAAGACGTGGGATTGGAACCAAGACCACCACCATTGTCATGACACCTTCGATAAGATGCTTGGCAGTGCGGGGAAGCTGGCTTGCAGCGTTTGGCCTGCGAATGGGGCACAAGATGAAAGTGAGGGAGGTGTTTTCCTACGTTCTTTTCTGCGAAGCCTAAAAGTTCTATAAAGTTTCTCCATTTCCCGTTGAATTGCCTTGAAATCCGGCTCTCTTGGAATCCAAGCTTAAGCTGACTGTCAAAGATTTGCCATCGCCGTCTCGTGAACCTTCTCGGCCACTCCCGCCGCCATGAAACTCTCTTTTGTGAACCGAAAGGCTGAGCCAGATGCCAAAGATCCCACTTTTGTCCCGACGGAAGTTGAAGAGGCTCTCAAAGTTGCTCCTGAGGTTCGAGATTATGCTGGCGCGCATGCGAAGTATGACCCAACCGAGATCGCCCTGGTGCGTCGTCTTGACTGGATGATCATGCCTATACTATGGTAAGAAGGCCTTTCCACCCGGAGTTGAATATCTACTGAAGAAACTTCAAGGTTCATGTACTGGCTCAATTACTTAGTGAGAATGCTCCAACTGCAAACCTCTCAGCATACATATCTGACCTGCGTTCAAGGACCGCAACGCCATTGCCCTGGCCAGACTCAACACCCTCGAAGAAGACCTCAACCTCACCTCGACAGAATACCAAACATGCGTCTCGATACTCTTTGTCGGATACGTCATCGTCGGTATCCCCGCGAACATGGTCGTGACGCGAGTCCGCCCGAGCCTGTGGATGAGCTCCTGCATGGCTGTCTGGGCCATCATTAGTGCCCTCACGGCAGTCAGCCAGAATTACACGGGCTTACTGCTCACTCGCTTCTTCCTCGGCATCACCGAAGCGCCTTACTATCCAGGTGCGCTATACGTGCTCGCTACGTTCTACACGCGTAAGGAGTTGGCGACGAGAATATCGATTCTGTATACTGGGAATATCCTAGCAACGGCCTTTGCTGGATTAATTGCGCTTGGGATCTTCCAGATGCACGGCATGGTTGGTTGCGTCCCCTTAAAATCTGATGCTAATGTTTACAAGAGGGTAGGCCGGTATCGCGGGCTGGAGATGGCTTTTCATCATCCAGGGCGTAGTCACCCTCATCATCGCCATAATAGCCTTCTTCATCCTTCCCGATGAACCCCTCACTACGAGATGGCTAAGCCCAGAAGAGCGTATCCTAGCCAACGAGCGCATTTTGCGAGATACGGTCGGAAACACTGGCCAAACAACAACCTGGTCCGGTCTCCTTGAGGCTGCCAAAGATCCGAAGGTCTGGCTCTTCACTGCAATGCAACACTGTCATCTTGGCGCCAACGGGTTCAAGAACTTCTTTCCGACCGCGGTTGAGACTTTGGGTTTTGATGAGACGATTACGCTAGTCCTCACTTGTCCTCCGTATCTTATTGCGGGAATAATATCGATTGCTTGGTCCTGGTCCTCTGGAAGATTCAATGAACGTACTTGGTCAGTTCAAAACCAGCTGTCAGATTCGAGTGACGTACATGTTGATCATGAACAAAGGCACATCACCATCGCAAAATCAATTGCAGTATTCGGCTTCATTCTCGGCTGCGCTACCCTGAATACGGGTGCTAGATATTGTAAGCGACCGTCCCTTGCGACCTATCTAGAGGATGCTAACATCTTTTAGTCTCAATGGTCGTCTTCTCGGTAGGCACATATGCAGTGAACTCGATTATACTGGGTTGGGTCTCGGCGACTTGCTCTCAGACGAAAGAGAAGAAGGCATCTTCGCTCGCGATAGTCAACTGTATCGCCGTCGCATCCTTCATCTGGACACCCTACATGTGGCCCAAGTCCGACGAGCCTCGGTACGTCATGGCGATGTCTTCGAGCGCGGCGCTTAGCGTTGCGACTGCCATGGGCGCATGGGCGATGCGGTTCTGGCTCAAGAATGAGAACAGGAAGATTCGGCAGTCCGAGAACGAAAACGTTCTATTTTATGCGTACTGAGGGGGGAGATGATAGGAGAGACACGCAGGACGCTTGGCACAAAGACATTGTTGATTATTTTTTCGCCACATGTTTTTCAGCCTAGACACTCAATGACGTAGCAATCCCTGAAGTACCCCTTCCCATTGTAGTCCCCAAAAGCAGCGACGGGATGCCTGTTCACCAATTGCCACATCTCACAGTCCTCCTCGACTCCATCGATGGTCATCCTGATCGCCCGGCCCTTCCGTCTTTCCCTGAGCTCGAGCTCCAACGCTGACTTCAAGTAGACCCACGCAACAATGTCAGGACCAGTGAGGCCCGAAGAGATCAGTCTTGGAAGCAGATAGTCGAGAACGGTGGTGATAAAGTTTGTGCCCTCGGACAAGCCTGCAGCCATCCTGAGCAGGACATCCACCCGAAGAACAGTGAATTGCTGCCGCTGTTGCATATTCATGCCACAAACAATACCAAGAATGACCTTGGCGAGTGCATCTGTGCCCGAAGACTGCACAGACGGGTCGAACAGAGACCGCAGGTAGCTGCACGTCATCCTACACACGAGATAAATCACGTACTCAAGAGCTTTTCTCGTGTCACCGAAACGGTAAGTGACAAATGTCTCAAAAGTAGCGCCACTGATCAGATCCGAATCCGCCCCAAGATTGACGACCGGCATATCGTGGTCGCAGAGCCCCCTGTGCCAGTTATCCAGCCGATGCGAAAACACATCGCACTGCCGCAATATCGTATCAGGTGTGAGGTTCTCCTTGTGAAAGTCCTTGAGGCGCACATTACGGCGATCCGATTCCCGGCCGAGGACAGACATAAGCCACAGTGCAACTTTCTCTGAAGCGCTACAGCCGTCTGCGGTCGTATCTTGGCTGAATGTAGCCTCCATCGCGTAGCGTGCATGAAGGCCATGTAGCCTGAATAATATATCACGAATTGCTAGTTGCGGGTCTAGTAGACTCGAGACATCGTAATTGTCTACAACATTGCATGTCGCTCGCGTCGGCAACATCATGAAACGAACATCGTAGCGAAGCATTCGCCAGGCTTTGAAGAGGTCGGGGATGGACGACGCGGCAAAGTCGAGCTTGGATGCGATGGCGTCCAGCCCGGTAGCGTGATTCCTGATTCCCAGGGCTGTGCCGGCTTCCAGCTCGTGGTAGGCAAGCAGTAAAGCGGCGCCCGCGAGCTCCTCGCCGCGGTAGTTTTCCACGTTCTGAAGTTGAGCTTGGAGGCCTTTGACCGCTGTGTCATAGTAGATCCAGACGCTGCTGTCGTCGCATACTCGACGGAGCACGAGCGGGTCGATGGGAAGAGGTTGCGTCAGCTTGATGTTGCTGGCGGACAGAGCTAGGACCGCTGATCGGAAACAGCTGCTCTGGCGGAAGAGATTCGGAAAGGAGAGAGCAACTGGTATCAAAGGAAGGACGTTCCTGTCGAAGTGCTGAATAAGGACCTCTTCTAGAGGTATCGATAGCTGGCAGTCTGCCGTCGGTTCGCCTAGGGGAGATGAAGTGGACGTGGAAGACCCCGGAGACGAACGGTCAGTGACGAGGAACTCGTCCCACCCAGTCGTCAAAGCTGGGCTTGGCGCTTCCGCTACCGGTGCCGAGCTGTTTGGTACTCCACTTGTCAGCATCAACCGGTTGGCAGAATTTTCGAACGTAGTAGGTTGCTCTATTCCGCTCGAGGTATTCCTTGGTCTGGCTACCTCCTGTCGTTGTTGAGGCGGGTCTTGAATCGCGGAAGAAGCACCAGATGTGTCGAAAAGTGACCACGGTAAGGTGAAGGACCCAGCGAGCCAGCCCTCAGCGTTCGTCGCGTGCCATGGAGACATAGGTGCCAGAACCGGAGCTGTCAACGTATCATCTCTCGCCGGTAATCCTATAATGTTTTCCGGCGTTGATGACTCCCGAGCGACAGGGGACGGCTCCCCGGTTGACCCAATACGGCGTCGTTTCCTTCGCTCATCCTCAAGACGCAGAGCGGCCCATCTAGCTTCCTCAAACTTCCTCGAAGACTCGGCTGCTCGAGTGGTGACGTCTCTGAAGGTCACGGGACGCTCGTAGCCGCTGCACTTTACTCCTTTCTTCACGCAAGCGAGGCATTCTGGGCGTGTCTCGTCACACTGTTTACGAGTCAGTTGGAAGGTACTTTCACAAGACGGGGAACATGGCGAAGAAAGTAGAATGTCACCGTGGGAAGTACGACCTTTCTTCTTTTCTTTTTGCAATTTTGACAACCCGTTCGCTTGCGGACAATGTCAGTCTTTTTGGGGCGGGTAGAGTGGGATTCCATGGGTGGCGCCGAGCCGGGAAAGACACCGTGAAAGCCGAGCTTTCAGCGGGAGGCAGACGGGACTGATGGTTGTTGAAATCGCTTAGGTGTTCATTAGAAGACAATAGATGCACTGCGACGTCCTTGAGTCCTGCGAAACATGCAGATATGACCAAGGGCCCGCGAGAAATGCCAAGAATATCCAGTGATGCCCGCCAGAGGGCAGTGGAAGTAAGGTGAAGAGCAGTAGCAGACGCGGGCCCAGATCGAGCGGATAAGCGAGCCAAAAGAGCTTTCCCTGTTTTGGTCAGCGGGTGCGCCGCTAAGCCTGTTATGGCTGTGCGGAACGGCGCAACGGACAAGGCTCCACCCGTTCCGCATCGGTGTTCGGCGATAAAGTCGCTAGGAGATGAAGCGTACCTACCTCACCCAGTTGAAGAAGTAATACCTCTACGCCAGAAGTTACTGCTTCCAGGTCATTGAGATATCATGTCCACCTCAACTTCGTAAAGTGAAACAATGGAGTGTACCTAGGGATACGTAACAAGGAGGCATATCTTCCACTAAGTTTAAGTTGGTGTGCAATATGTGTGTCTCCGTAAAAACAAAAGTTGCATCAAATTCACGCAAATACTCACGCTTGGTCTAGTCTGGTCATTTGAACATGAAAGAACTTTTGTAAAACTCCGATTATTTCTGATAAGGGCACTAAGTAAGAAGCCATAGAGATGAAGCTTAGCCTGTTTATTGCTTTGCGGTAGTGTTGTAACCCCGTCTTTTAGCAGCTAACTGGAACCCGCCTCCCCCAATGCAAGTTGCTGAAACTGCTTCCAGATCCCAAAGGCATTCGCCACAACATCATCCATCTGCGCCGAATCCGACTTCATTTCATCTCCAGCGAGACGATCTGAATCGGGACCAGGCGAAGGCGGTAGCTGAATCCATCCATGCTGAGCCATCACCATCGCTGCCGTCTCCCCCTTCCCATTCAGCAAATTCTGAGCCGCCCCGGCCTGGATCAAGGCGTCGAAAATTGCGTTCGCATTTCGTACCCGCTTCTCTGCCTCCGCCGGACCACTGATTGTCGTGCTGAAGATGCCATTGATAGTTTTTTTGCCAAAGAAGTAATTGGTTCCAACAGCCCAGCCTACCATAAATCCCTGCTCCTCGTCAACGTCCCACGCCAGGAGGTCGTCCGTTTCGCCGATGGGCAAAGGACTTGCTATTGAGAGCGTATAGGCGACGTGTAAAGGCGTCTCCCCCTCGGAATTGGGGTGATTGACGGGGGCTCCGCAGCGGATGAGAAAGTCAATCATCTGTCGGCTCTCGTGAAGGACTCCTGGCATCCTTTTCACTCGGCCCATGGTGTCTGCGAGGAGACTAAGCTCCTCTTCGAACGATCCAAAAACATTCTGAAGAACTTTGAACGCCTGATGGAGTTCCCATGGTCGGGAAATTTCCATCGCAGCCCTGAATAACAACGTGCGGTCGCGGCCGCTGGGATCTGACTCTGCTCTCTTGGCGATTAGTGCTTTCAGCTTTGCGCCCTGTAGGGACAGCCTTTCGGGCTCGGTCATATCAGTGGGATACAATCTCGCTACCGACGATGACAAGCCGAGGATGACGACGTAGCTTTTGTCTCCTGCCCCCAGACCCGGCTCGTTGAATGGATCTGCTCCGGCGTCGAGGAGAAGCTGGAACATCTCGGCAGATACGTAGTAGATAAGGCTGTCCACTACCAGGTTGATTCTGGTTCTTGTTGGCCGGAGGCGCGTACCCTCAGGTGTCCACTCCGCCCACTCAGTGTATTCGCGGTTGACGTCGAACCCGTGGTCAATCAGGAGGCGAAATATCTGCAAGCTGACCTCTAGATCCTCCGGCTTGTGCTCCATGAGGAAAATTCTCATCGCTTCCTGTAAACAAGTCACTTCGCCTCCGTCGTTGGGCGGGTACACCGTCGACGCCCCGTGTTTTAGCAAAAGCTCAACGGCATCCCGGTCCAGGTTCCATATGGCGGCCTCGAGCGGTGATTTGTGATCTAGAAAGACGTGCATGGTGTCCTCCTGTTCGCACTGGCAAAAGCCGATTCGCTGTGTCGCCGGACGTGCCCCGTCGACATGAGCGCCAGCTTCCAACAGTCGCCGGAGGCCTCTGACATCTGTGCCTCTCTCGACATGCCAGAGAAGCAACGGTTCTGTGTGCATGAATCTGTCCTTGTCGATGGGAATGTTCGGGGCAAGCTCTAAGAGTGTCTCGATCATGGCACTGCTGCTCGCCAGGTGCAGGACACTGATTTGGTGATTAACATCCACTGGCATGCCACGGAACGCAAAGACCTGCAGCAGCGGCTTTTCCAAATCTGCGCCGTACTTGTGAAGGAGTTTGACGGTTTCGACCTGGTCTTCCAAGATGGCGTGGGCCAGGACGGAGTAGTTTATCCAGATCTTGTGCGTATCGCACGCGGGACGGTACAGTCGCTCAATCAGGAGCGCAGCCAGACACTGCCTTCTAATGGCAACGTTTGACGGCGCTTGAAGCATCAGATTGTCGACTGGGAAGTCAAAGTCGGCCGGGCAGGCAAGCACAGACCTTGAACAGGCAAACTTAGCTTCGTAGCCGAGTTTTAAGAGTTCCTCGACCCGGTCTACTTCATTTCTGATAATGGCTGCTAGCATCGCGGTGTATGTTTGCGATGCTAAATCGCGGTGCAGCAGGAGACTTCGCTCAAATGACGTTGCAAAGCGTTTTTGAGTGAGGGTGAGTTGGAAAATGTCGCGGGGCGTGAGGTATTCGCATATGCCATGCATGATGTCTTCAGCGAGAGTGGATAGTGAGGCCATGGTACACGATGGACTTATGGGAGCATTCGGCTCCTTCTTCTGAACGAACAGTGATAAAGAGATGTAAAGAAGTGCAAACCTGTTTGAGAGATAGTTCCTTCAGGCTGAAGAAATTTAAAGAGGACGATACTATCCGCGACTGGGACATGACTTTTAAGCGAGAAAGCCCTTGCAGGGCGGACAGCTCGGATGCCGGCATATCCAAGGAATGCAGCGAAGAGCGGCCAAGGGCCTGGCAGCAAGGGAATGAAAGAAGGAGAGAGTCGCCTTGGCAGCTGAAATGCAACTTGGGTAATAATCTCAAGTCACAAGGCAGACTAGGCAGACTTGACAGCTTGGCTACTTACCCCATGGGGGCTATGGGAGCCCGGATCAGGAGATCGCAACGTCGAATCAATTCAACTCGGGGTTTGGAAAGGGGTTTGGCATCGCGGAACCGCTCCGCTCCGCACTACTCCGCGCGCTGTTTAAAGCTTCCTCCCACCGGCTGCATCCAACTCAAGAATTTGGAACAGCGATATCAGGAGCTGTTTAAGACGATCAGGGCAATGGCATCTTCGCATTTACCCTTTTTTTACCCTACCTATTTCTTTCCTTTTTGTCTTTAGTCCTCATGATGCACCTCAAGCGGGATGCTTCAGATCTGTGAATCCACTCTGTCCCATAACCAGGACCCACGAACCTTGGCCGCCGATCTTCGCTTATGATTTCCACTGATTGGTTGGTCCAGTTCTCCGCCAAGTCAATTCCGACATCAGGTTATGATGGAAGAAGATCACTCCCAAATTCCGCGAGTGATTAACGAGATGGAAAGTGTTGCAAGGCAGTTTTCTTCCATCACGTCGCATCAGTTGGCCGTCGGAGTCGACTCCGACTCTCAATCAGGGTATCAAGACCAATATGCGATAAACGTCACATCGACTACACATGCATCGGCTCTGACCTGGGAAGACTCCTCAACTGCTTCGATCTGGATTTAAGAGACTGCAGAGGTTCTTCCGCGGCAACGCTAGACCCAAATCACGTCTCATAGATCCTGAAACTGCTCTGCGGGGAGCAATAGTACGGTTTTGGTACATTGCAAGAGGCTTGAACCTTCAGGTAATTGGCCAGCATAACCATATGAGGCCAAAATGCCTTCAAAAGCTGACAGATTTCCTCACGAATCGATCGGAAAGTCGAGGAAGTAACCGGTCACACTATACATATGAATTAGCAAAGATGTGGTGTATTTAGAACCATGTGACTGAACGCCATTGCTCGCAAAAGCCATATTCTCCTCGGCTCCATGCCGAGGCCCATCGCCCGAAAATGCCCCACTTCCCCGTTCCAGCTCGCCGGCCAAAGTGGAGTGTCACACCGGCCCTCCGATGGTAGTATCGCGAAAAAAACACGTCAGGAAAGCTAACCACGCCCGACCACAGGAAGGGGTCGAAGGAGCCCGATGGCCGGGTGCTAGTGCAAGGTACTTTTTCCCCGCGTGTCCTCGATGTAACATCTCATCTACAAGCGGCTAATCCTCCTGGGTTTTAGCTTCGTTACTCGAAGAAAATTGCATCGCGAATTTAGGCAGCAGACATGTTGCTGTGCCGCAAGGCACCACGGCACAGCAAACAAATGGTCCGCCAGTGATTAAAGTGGTGAAACTTGAAGGAAGGAATAAGGGAATTTCGCTTGGCGTTTGCTTTGCCGCATGGTGAAAATTCGCGAACTTGGACTATTTAAATGAATATGATGTCCCTCATTGTCCCAAGTCTTTCTTGTGAGTTTCTCAGAAGTTGAGCATTTTCAAAAAGAAAGTGTACTGCCAGAAAGAAGTCGCTACAACAAACCGAGAGATCAGCATCGAAGACAAGACTAGGTCCTCTATTCAACCTCACTCAACCATGCATCTGCTCAAACTCATCTCCCTCACAACGGCCATGGCGCCAACAGCCTTCGCCCAACTCTGGTTCGGCACCACCCTCCCGACCTCGACCGCCGCCGACGAATACCTCTCCCAACACGTCAAATCCGTCCCGAGCACCATCACCGGCGCCGTAGCAACCTCCCTCGCGACCGCGCTGTACAGCGTCGACCAAAAGTACTTCAACGACAAGGAGTGGACGACGGTCTACTCCCACATGTGGTCCGCCGCCGCCAAGGCCACCGACGCGCCCGACGTCGTCGCCTCGATGGCGGTCAACGGGTACAGCCTGGACACCCAGCAGGAGGCCAAGTGGTGGAAGGATAACGTGCCGGATAAGGACGACAAGTGGGTTTCGTCGTATGTTTCGGATTGGCAGAAGGCGTGGCAGGATAATACGGCGGCGACGAAGACTTCAAAGGGCGGTGCTGCTGTGGCGAGGTGTACTGGGATGGCTATGGCTGGTGTTGCAGCTGGCGTGGCTGCTTGGGTTATGGTCGCGATGTGAGAGGCAGAGTATTGTCAGTTGTTCGAGTCCTTGGCTTTGTCGTCCAGACTACGCTGTCTGCGATGCAAACTCAGTGGGTCGAATGTGGGACTGAATAGTGCGACATCTTACCTTTCTTCGTATCTCTCAATGAAGCGATCAATTTCGTCCACATTCTTCTCGATCTTCTTCAGATGAATAGCCCTTCTAGTCTTGGCGCCCCAAGACTCTGAAGTCTCGACCTCAAGTAAAACTTCCAAGCCATGGCTATCGATTTCTGCGCACGAAATCTTGTGCTCCAATGAGTGAATGTCTGACTTGCTGGCGTCGAGTTTCCGCTCTAAGCCCTTCCGGATCTTGACCAACTTCTTGCGCTTCTTCTCGGCATTATCGAGCGTCTTTTCGAATGAAGACATTCTTTGACTCAGTAACTCGTACTGGTTTTGGAGTCTGTTGATGTCGGCTGTGATGTCTTTCTCCTCTTGAGGCTGTGGTAGAACAGATGAAGTATTGTCGCTCGGGGGTGTGGCAGACGGGGTCGGGATTCCCTCGTTATTCTGCTGTACAGTTGCTTGTACTATGTCTTCCAAGACTTCTGAAATGACTGGGTATGCTGATTTGCCAAGATCCTCGACTATGTTGGTCAGCACCATCGTGTCAAATTTGTCGAACTCTGTCGCTAAGCCGAAGCGAACAGAGAGGCTGTGACCGGCGTGACAGGAAGAAAAGAAGAGGAAAGAGCAAGTGGTCCTCTTTTCTCATCCTCGAGCTAAGTGAAATATGCGGGCGGCGGAGCGAGTCGAGATTAGTGGGACCTGTCAAAACGAAGGTTCAAGATGAATACGGATGTCCAAAAGGGTCATCACGAACTTATCCTCAATCAGTCAGGTACGAACCGGAAGTACAATCTCTAAATGCAGGGGATCTTACCAGAATTGCCATGCGACCTATAGTTTGTCAAAAAAAAAAAAAAGAGTAACCAGAAAGCAGCGCTTATGCTATTCAGGTGACCACAACGGGAACAAGTCGTTGTCGTGATAGCATCATTCACCTGTTCAAGGACCGCCATCACGTGACCGCAACGAACGACGACAAGGTTAACCAACAAAACTGTTCCTTCGAATCATTTTCTCACCTAAAGCGCCCTCGTGAAATCACAAATGGGTGCTATTTCAGCAATGCGACTTTCCACAGGGAGTTATCAGACGAAACGCTATTAGCAAGAGAAGACCCGTAGGAATGGAGGCCTTAGTGGAGTGATACTTCATCTAGTAAAAGCAAGTGACATTTCGATACCCAAAATAGGCAATCTAGGACTACATGTATTTACAATCTGCAAATTCTTTCCCATCTACTTCCGTGGCCCTTAGCCAATTCTGTCAAGTACGATCCAGCATACAAGCTACATTTAGCAGCGAAGTCATAATCCTTCCGACAACACCCGTGTGCCAGGGCGTATGAAAGACCATTAGTATGAACCTGTTCATCGAAGTTTAGACCTTGGCGTGCTCAGGGGCAAGCTCAGTTCCACCGCTGTGCGCCGAGTCAACAGGCAGAGAAGGGTGAATAGCCTTCTCCATGTCGTCATCCTGTCCAGGATTGGCAGTCTGATACTCGAGCCACTTGAACAAGGCATAAACCAAGAAGGACAGAAGAGCACCAGCGAATGGGCCAATCCAGTAGATCCAGTGGTAGTTTACGAAACCGATAATGACAGCAGGACCAAATGACCGAGCAGGGTTGATTGAAGTGCCAGTCCAATTGGTAGCCGTGATGTGGGCAATGAAAACGGAGATGCCGACGCCGATGGGCGCAAGAAACGTCGCGCGGTGCTTCTCGACAGCGAGGAAGTAGACCGTCAAGACGAGCTGGGCCGTCAGAAGCATCTCGATGAAGAAGCCCTGGGGCACGGTGGCGCCGCCGCCCAGAGTGTTGGCGACGCGGAGAGGGCCGGGGAGGACTCCGTATACCACGGCAGCGGCAGCGATACTAGCGAGCAGCTGGGCGGGTACGATGCAGAGACCTCGAAGCGGCTTGACTGCTCCGACGAGAACGAGACCGAGGGTGACCTGTTACGAAGATGTTATTCAGCGTTTGAAGTAGAAAGGGTTGGGGGTTAAGATGAACTGGGTCGGAAACATACCGCAGGGTTGAACATGCCACCGCTGACGCGGTAGAAGATCCAGACGTTGGCGGTGATGGCTGTGCCGAAGGCGGCGGCGATGTAGAGCAAGCTGTCAGGAGAGAGTGTGGCCGCTGGGTCGTCGGGGTTGTTGGTGACGATGGCGGTCTGGGCTCCGAGGAAGGAGAGGAGGAGGAACATGAATGTTCCGCAGAACTCGCCCAGTACGATGACTAGGAGGTTGCGCTGGGGCAGGGAGAAGGGGTAGCCTCGCTGTCCCGCGGGAGGATGGGTGGCGTGCACCGCATCGATGGCCTGCTTCACGGGCGTGTGGTGGGCGTTGGAGGCTGACATCTTGTAAGTGATGGTTGAAAGAAGTCGTCTAGGTTAGGAGAAAGGAGAAAGAGACTGTGAGATGATTGTGAGACGGTGTTGTTCGATGGCTTGGGTGATATAGGATTCTTGTGAGAGCCCAAGCCATCTATAAATACGTATCATGATGAGAAACGAATGGCTGGTTTCTAGAAGTGAGGCGGTCGTCAAGCTTGCTCGTCATCCAAGCTTTCTGCTGTGGTTCTCCGGCAAAAGCGAATACTCCCACGATCAGATGCATCGCCGTGGGCCAGATTCTTTCAGTTGGGCACCAAGTGGTAGGGACAGCGTCAGTACAACGACGAGGAGGTTGGAGTACACGAGTGCAATACTGAGGTCGGCACGAGGGGTGTTGTACCACGCATACCCGAGGATCTGTACCCTCATATCGACGACCACAAGGTCCCAATCGAGACGGGTGTACTTGCAAATCTGGTGATGAACCATACGAATTGTCCTGTCACTTTTGCCTGGGCACCAATCGCCATGCTGTGCTATTACGTGCTGCCGTGCTCATCTTCTCGAACGACTTCAATCATCTCAATGTCAGGTCGCTCACCGGGTTGGGCCTCAATCTGTGTGTTTCGCTGGTTCGGTCGTGATCTTTACCCAGCCTCTCCCTGTTCTAATGGGTCCGTTGCCACGATGTTGGGCTCGACGCTGTGTGTCTCGCCTCACGTTATGGAGTTGACTCTTGAGATCGAATGAGTCCTCTGTCAATCGCATATCACCAGCAGCATGGTCAAGGATAGAAGCAGTTAGTCACGAAAGCGGAAGGAGATGTGAGATGTCCGATACTTCGCATTGGTTTACTTTGCCTATGGAAAGTCAAGTACCATCCCGCTTCTACAGTATGTTCAGATAACAGTCTATCGAGGCCGGACATCCTACTGTATTCCTCTATCCCTATACGCACGTACTTGGAGGCAGAAGCTTCAGCTGACGTTCTTTCGCGATCGCTCCCTGATGCTCGATCTCTCTCTGTCTCTGATGCCAAGTCCGTGCGGCCACAAGCTATGTGCACCGTTTGTATAGTCAAGCTTTCGGGACCCTGACCATGTCAACCCTCCTCTGGAGTTGGGCTCGAATATGTATGTCTCGCTACCACAGCGATGATCTCTACATAGGACTTCACGCGTCCGACGGAAAAGTTGCTCCGATGTCAAACCAGTACCATGCGTCTTGCCGCTAAAACTGGGGGTACAGGAAAAACGGCCAGTCTCACCAAAGTCCTCTTCTCCAGGAAGTCTCGGGCTGTCACGCCGAGTCCCTCAAAAGAAACGAGAAACCAATGTCAAATGGAATAATCCATCTTCAGGCTTGAGATCTTGCTAGGGCCGAACCTCTCTTTCTCGGAGCCGATGCCAAAGGCAAGACTGGCGTTCTAGCCCCCCACTTTCCGCCACAGTCAACGCCGGCGTCAGTTTAATGTGCAATGATGATGACAATGGTGATAGAAACAAAGCAGTTGTCATTACCGGCATGCCTGGCTCAGAGTGTCTTGCCATCGTACGTTTCCCGGTTGGCATCATCGCGTCCTGATTGGCAGATCCCTCCGATGTCATGCTTCAGTTTGCATCTCCCGCTAGCGCACGTCGATGCGGACGTGATTCGCCAGCGTGAATGCACAGCGGTATCACCATCTAAGGTTGACAAACAGAACGCAGCATTAGGGTTCGCCTGAACTTCTTGCCTTTCGTCTGAACTGGTGGCCCGACTTTTCCCTGGAGAGACACATCATGTTTGCCAATGGCGGCAGGTTTTTGCGCATGTCGTGCCGCAAACTCTTCGTTGTTTGTCCCACAGAATCTAGACGATTGCGCATCCTGCAATCTTACATGGTCTCTGTTACTTGTGGTATCCACGTGAGCTGTGTAGCACAAACAAGCTCTCCTCGCAGCCTTGGTGAACGATGAGCTGCTGATGTCACGGGCTCGTTCTCATAACCAAATGGAGCATGTAGAACGGGCGAAAAAAGCACAGAATAAGAACCACAAAAACGGCCCACCTGTCTCCAAAATTCCTCCGCTGCAGCGTTCTTATTTTGAGAGAACAAAGTCATACTGCCCTCCCATTATTGGCCGGAATCCCCTCTCGCTCTTTACCTCCTGCATGTGCGGGGGTTTCAAGTATGGCCCATGAACCCCATGGTTGACTGGCCGTGAAGGGCCACGAGGGGCGGACGAATGAAGGTGGTTGCGCAACAACGGTGGAGCGTGGGATCGCGGGTCAAAGTCTGGATTGATCGACATGCGGGCCGGTCCTAAGCGCTAAGGGCAGTTGGGACATGATCTGCGGTGGAAACGTGAGTGATCTGCGGGCTGGTGGCCAGCCTCTTGGACACCACCATGTATTTTATATTTTGCCTGATGGATTGATCACAGCGTGAATTTTTAATTGTCTCATCTGGAACACCGAAGACTGGCATCGCTAGAATTGCTCCTGTAAAAGCCGCACACAGGAGGCAGGGAGAGCAGGAGGCAAACTTTTCAGAAGTTGACCTCACCTTGGAAGCTAGGAATACTACTCGCGACTTAGCCCCGGCGTCGGGGTGCCAGCTGCAAGACTTAATTGATGGCTCTACGGGGCAGGCGAGTGACCAAAATCAGCAGATGGTTTTCATGAGCCAACGATTATGTTATTGCCTTTAAAGAGCCTCTAGACCAGGCCGCGACTGATCCTTTTCTCAACGGGAAAGTCTTGCGCCACGAACGAAGGAGGCGGGGACGGTAAGACATCGAGTGAGACACGAAGCGGAGACCGAGGCATCAAGCCGCAGAACGTCGCAGGCTTGACCGAAGACTCGGGCGAGCTGCCCAAAGTGTTGGGGGCCAGAACTCCCCCAAGCTGAAGACAGAGATCCGCGTCTCTCGGCTGTTGAAAATGAAGGCGGGGGGGGCAGTGGAGTTACTACGATGCAATATGTCCAGAAGTAAGAACCACAATGCCCACCCTTCAAGACCTAGAAATCCCTCGTTCCACCGTGGCAATTTGATGGCTTAGGCTTCTGCGTCAAGCAGGCTTCAACCATGTGGTAGGAGTTGGGTTGCAGACGCAGTGTGTATGATCAATTATTGATCAAGAGGTTGGGTCAATGACGAAACAGACAGCAGTTGAAGCCATAGTGTGATGCGGAACGGACGAGGTGCCCTGGTCTCAGGCGGGGTGGCGCTCACCATCGAGGTCGATCGTTTCGAGACAATAAGGCTGGACTCGAGAGGGTGAGCAACGGCATACCCAGAATGGGTAGCCGCAACATAGCAGCCGTCATAAAGCGCTCTGGTCAGGCAGCACCGGTTCTGATATGTTGATGATTTACCTCCATAAGTCTTTCAATAGCCAAGGCCATTTTACAGGCGACAAAAGCTCAGTTGATACAGCAGAGAATGACACACAAGTAGGCTCGGACTCCGATACATAGCCATAGGGACTGGTATCAAGAAGCAGTATGTTCAATTCCTAGGGCTTTGAAGCTAACATGAGCAAACAGAAAAATGAGCTCAAGGCTAGTAGCCCTGACATCCTATCCTACAGAAAGTTTCCTGCCCAGAATCCCCGACTTTGGTTGTTCGGCGTTGAGATCCGATCATCGGATATGACCCAAGTTCAGCCCTCAAACTTAATCCAGCAAGTCCACCACTTCACCGAAGGCAAAACCATTCGATCTCTCCTCAGTGCTTCCTTCAGATCTGTTGGTTGCAATCTGCTGCTGCCATGCCTCACGTAGGTTACTGAGCTCTTTGTTGAGTCTGCGAAGCTCAGAGTTCTCCGCTTGCAAATCCTTAACTTCCTTTGTGATGGACTTGTTCTCCTGTCCCACCTGGCGATTTCGGTCCATTGTCACCCTGTTGAGTGCAAACAAGTCTGCCTCTTCCTTGCGTATCTGTGCTTTCATCTCTTTGAGCTTGATCTTGTACTCACTCTCACCCTCACGCTTTCCCTTGTTGTATGCTTCCGAGTAGGTCTCCTCCAATTCCGATCTGAAATGAGCACGGTATCCTGCCTTGAAGTGACGCCTGGCGAGTGCGATGCTGTTCTTTTTGCCATGTACTGTCTGTCGAATATACTCATCGGTAGCCACGAGGAGTTCGTCCTTGGAGGAGGCCTTGGCTTTGACAGCGGTACCATTGAGTTCCATGATATCTTCCTATGCACACATGGCTAGATGCAGCTGGTGAGTCGCCTTGCTCTCGGCACTGGTGGTGTAAGGCTCCTGGATAAGTGTGCGAGACATGCCGGGGTTCTTGTCTCTGAAAGATACCCAAGCCGAGTAGAATCGGTAGAGAATGTTGTCGAACTTGACAAAATCAAAGATGGAAGCCGCTTGGAAGGTGCTGTCGTCAGACAGAAGCTTCTTCACTTCCTTCCAGAATGCAGCATCACGAGTGGTGCAGTCAGAGCTCTCGAGACACTGAGCAGCAGCATGGATGATGGCAGCAAGACGAGAAGCAGTCATGGTCAAGCTAGGATCGGCTGTAGGAAGTGCGAAATCGAGGTGAAGGAGCTTGAGGGCATCCCAATCGGCTTCAGAAACGGGGCCGCAAGCAAAGCCTCGGAAGTCGAATCCGGTCTGGCGGAGGCAAACGTCAATAACTTTCAGCTGGTGAGTTGAGAAGCGCTCAGCAGGCGGCGAAGCAATGGCAGGCACGTTCGGGCCCGAATTGGCTTTCCTTCCCTTATACGTGGGAGGCATCTAGATCTCGTTAGCAATGTGCGCCTCTCGCTACCTTCCCATCACGATGGAACAAATACACAAAACATCTGGGTTCAAGTTTCATGGACAGTAAATGATGCGTCGATAGACCCGGCCCAGTAAGACTCTGGGGCACGGACCAGGGTATAAGAAAGGCGCGCCTGAAGCACTACTCACCTTAAAGGACCAGCATGGAGATTCCCATATATGAACGTATATATGAGGATTTCGGTGCTATTCCAGTCTCTGATATCGATATTGTCAAAGCCAGGTGGGAGGGGGAAGCAAAAATTGTGTCGATGTTGACCTGGGGAGCGAAGTAATGAGAGGGTAAAAGTGAGGCGAGTGAGGTAATCGACGAATCAGTCCGTGAGGCGGTCGCTCTTTCCGTCGGGCTACGAATTCAATATCCGGCTCCTTGGCTGCCTAATTATAGTTGGGGAAGGTCTCAACAAGAGAAAGCGCGACTTCAAAAGATTGCAGTAAGCTGTGAATCTGAATAATTTGAATTCTATAGGTGCGCGTGCTAGGCCCGAACACCCGTGGATGACCGTGTACAAGGCATTCTAAATACTCGAGTGCCGACCCAAGACTTAGAATGTGAGGCTACAGCAAGAAGACCGGTGTCGTCTAAAGTCATGACTTTCACTTTGGTCTATCTGGACATCGGGGTATAGGCAATTCTTCGACTTCACGCGATCAGGGACAGCCAAGTGAAAGAGGTAACCTGGCGAACAGACCTGAGGCTGCAAGATGGCGGCAGCCCTCGGACCTCTCATCAGGATGTGAAATCTTACGTCTCCATAAGGCTATTCGTATTGTACTCCACTTCTCGCCATTCTAATAGCTGGCTACCTTGACGGACCGTGGTCACAGGCGGCAAGGAGGACTTTCAAGTGGAGGAAGACTTTGATGCCGAGACACTCGCTCCTGATACCTTTCTCCAGTCGCTTCTTTGTGACCCAGGCGAATAGCTCTACCTTGCGCGTTTCTAGTTGCTGTCTACAAATTACCATATGAACATTGCATCAGTCTCTCAACTATGACTTCCTTGGATAAGAAACTGCGCAGATCCACAATGTGTGAAGACGACCCTTTTAGGAAACTTTTCGAAGCCGAACTCCGTCAAGCACAACGCGTCGATCGCATGGAGATGTCGGATATTGACTTCGATCTGTAGCCTCAAGACAATATCCAATTCTTCAAGACTCACATGACCTTAGAACAACTCCACGGCCGCGGAGTTGTAATCGACGCCCATCTAGAGTTCCTTGCTTGCAAAGCAAAGGGAGGAGGCCAAAAATGGAACGAATGAATTAAGAAGCGAAACGGACAGGCATTTGTCACCAAAGCACTAGACAAAGGCCAATCGGTGGTTTAATGAAAGGAAATTGCGTCAGGGGCAATGTAACACCAACTGGAATGGAAGTCGGCGACGGGATGCTGGGTAGCATGTTCGAGCATCTTATGCGTAGTAGCTACTGTCCTCGTGACGTCTACGGCAATGAAAATACCAAGTGCTGGGATTCCATCCTCCACGACCGGGTCGAGCTTTCAGATTGCAGAGCGGCCCTCTTGTTCCCGAGGGAGTATTACTTGGGGAGAAAAATGCTGCCTTCGGCCAGCGCTGTGTCAAGGACGCTCCACAATGGCAAGCTCATCTTCCTTATCTCTCGTCGCCCAAAAGCTGGATACATGTGGTGGACCTTCTTTTCCTCTGCAACAGTCGCGTCCTGGCGATTAGACCTTTGCCAGGACGCCGTTGACCGATATTGGCCGAATCGCGGAATCCTTACGGCGGTGCGGTACCGCGGCTCCACAGGCCCGTATTGCGAGGATGGTATTTACACATGGTTTGCCGGCAGCGATTTGGCGGAAAGGACTTCAATATATTACAGCCTAGCTGGATTCTCTGATGCGGAGTTGGTGCCCAATCATGCGGCGCTGGCCATTCTTGCTGCTCGGACTATACCTAAGTACTGAGTTGGAGGTGTTATGGGAAGCTGTCTATAAAAGTTCGGACGAGGGCTAAAACTTCAGAAGCAAGACGAAGAAATTGGGCACCGATGTGGACTAAGACACTGCGGCAAAACTTGGGATTGAAGGGAGATTTGGCCCCGGAGCGCTTGCGCTTCGAGTCCATCTTGACGACGGGCCCTAGTTCAAACAAACGTACTGTTGGAAGAAACAAAGAATTTGAAAACCACAGCGTTGAATACAATGAACGTCCCCTCAAAAGGACCTTGGAAGTATGATTCTTTAACACCCCTCTCTCTGACATGGATCTGAACCTAAGACCACCTTATCTTCCAACCGGTCTCACCACAACGGATGACTCCATGGCTAGTCGAGCAGATTAATCAAACTCCCCTCAGACGAACTGTCCTTCCACTGCTGTATCTAGTCAGTGGCGCCGCAGGCTTGAAAGTCTGAGGCAGGAAGCATACCTTAAGCTCCACAATCTCTTGCTTCAAACGAGCAATCGTGTCTTCCTGAGTTGCGAGATTTAATTGAAGCCGGGTATTCTCCCTCTCCAAAGTGCGGTAAGATCGGAGCTGAGACGCCTGAAGAGCCTTTCCCAACTCGTAGTAGGCAATGTCGAGGGTGTCGACGATATGGAGGAAGGCAGCGGCGGCGGGGATATTGGTGCTTGCACTCTTGCAGCGACGTCCCTCATCCTCGGTCTCCGCCCGAATCTTTGCCTTGGCCCCAGCTTCCTTCACGTCGGCAGCCTTTGATCTGGCATTCGCCGCAGACATGGCATCTTTGACAGAGGCAATGACGTGTTCGATGTCCTTCGCCGTGATGACGGCCTTTCTTTTGACATTGTGGAGGTTGGTGATGACGGCGGCAAGCGCCTGGATGATCAAACTGGTCTCCCCGGAGACCATTTGCTGTACTTTAACGTATGACTCAAGCTCCGCAACATAGTGCTGAATGAGGTATCCAGTACGCTGGGCATCTGGTAGGCCGTGTCGCTCCGCTGCTCGACCTGAACGCTCCATGGTCGGAGCGACCGGAAGGTCTGCGGCAGAGATGCTTTGAGATTGCATCATTGCGGCTTGCAACAGATAGTAGTTAGCTTTGAACAACCCAGATAGGTCCACGAAGGCGACAAACAGATGGAGTTCGATCGTGATGAATATGGGATGGACGAACGCGATGAAGAAGCGATTCCAAACCAGTTGGGACTGCTGGCAACAATGGCGAGGGCGGTGTCGTTGGCTTGGGGGCGATGGAAATGAGATCGAGGACGAGAATGAAGTTGGAGAAGAAGAGAAAGATGGTGGTTGTGAGTTTGGAAGCCAAATAGAATTTGAGGCGAAATTTCAACTCCTATGCGGCATTCGAGCAAAGTGTTCCTGCCCCCGCTGGAATCTTCTGCGGATGAAAAAGAAAGAAAGAGATGGAATCCAAGGTTGGACAGAAGGAAGTGTCCGGTCAGCCCTTTCCCTTGTTGCCTTGTTGGGTATAGGGATGAAGAGTGGATCTACGTCTTTGACGGCGAGAAAACCTCGCGCGGAAGGTGCGAGGGCAGCCACACATGTTGGGGGGCCAATCCAGGCCATTAGCTTCACCCTCCCATTCAGCTAAGTCACCTGACGTGGGGAACCTTCTCGACCTGGAAGCTTACCTGGAATGTAAGGTACGACGACCTACTGACATGGTGTTCCTACCTGCCCAGGCGGGAGCCATTGGACCTTGCAGAACCTCAGAAGGGGAGGTATCCCTCCGCCTCATCTCGGAACACCATGAGTGACTAGGATGCCTATGCTCTACAGAATTAGCAGTGACGACATGAAGGTGAATTCTGGTGCCTTCGGTCAGTCACATAACATTGCAAAAGTTGGAGGCCAAGCATTGAGCTGAAAACAGGGAAGTCCGACAGGATGTGATGATACTTGGCACTTGACATAACAAAATTAAAAGCCCAAGAAAGCAGGTTCGCCCCTCGAAAAAAGGAATGCCCAGGTGACACTGAGAAACCTGGGTGTGCCGTCCGATGAAAGAGTTCTACCCGTCCTCCCGTCCACGTTATCTCAGACCCACGAGGCGCGAATTTTCCTTTGAATACTACCACAGTCGGCTGAACAATCCCCAGCACAGTTGGTGCAGTCTGGCTTTCAGCTTCCGCCGTATCTCATTCACGCCACTTGATCCACGGTTGAATTACGTAATCTTCATGCTCTGCAAGCCAGAATTGGTCACCTCCTTGATGGGTGTCGGCGAGAAAACTGCTATCCTTGGGTTGCTCCCAGAGCCCTGAATATCCCTTGCTGGTGTGCTGATGTGAGGCATCTCATGCTAAGAGCACTACGTCAATACTACTGCCAACTTGATGACTGATCGCAGTTTTCCGGCTGGAAACATATCATCCATGAACACCAGAAGAGTCGTGAGATGACTACGGTGTTCCGTATCCACAGACAGTCAGACTGCCTTAGTCACTTTCTGTGAGACAAGTGAGCTTGTGATGGACTTGAGTGATTTGATTTAACCTATGGCGGCATCTTGATCATTGGTCCAATATGATCAAGCTCATAGAGCCTTTCCCAACTGAAGCGCATTGCGCGCCCATTACGTCGTGTGGTAGGCCGGGAGTTCTGCGACGGCGTTGCGTGGGAAGGAGGGGCAGCCCTCACAAGTGGGTCCGGGGCAGGGAGCACACCAAAGGTGGGGCGAATACTCTTTTGGGACGTGTCGCGTCCAGCGATTGGGACAGGCCCTGCCGTGGCGCTGCATCCACAAACTTTAGTCGAACTGTCATCTCTCTCGCTCCACCACTTTGATTCAACGACGAAGGGATGTGTCCCAACATGGCTTTGCCAGAGCCTAATGTAATCCACTTTGGATCCTTCTATTATCGTGATCTTTGGCTATATCTTGTGGATTGTGAGACACGCCGCCGCCTTCTGATGCCCTTTGATGCTCAACATAATGAGGTAGAGGGGGGGGGGCATTACTTTGCTTTGGTCTGGATAATGAATCTACGATAGATGCTGCAAGAAGTGCCCAGACCAAGCTCTTGTTAACAATCAGCCATTGGCAGCAAAGCTGAAAGGTGTGTTGAGACACAGCTATATCAAAAAGGAGTCCTGCTTCTGCGGCTCGTAGCTTTTTTGTGCCACCTGCTCAATGGAAATGCCGCAAGTAGCCGGGAGAAGAGGGAGTCGCTGTCGCACGTCAAATGATAGTATATAGCTTCTCGAAGGTCTTACTGCTAGAAAAATCATATCACATCCAAGGAGAGGATGGTTATCAATCGGGTTCTTGTAGCAGCTAGAGCGTCTCTATCACGACGATCGCGGTCGCGATCGTTGGAAAACAGGATCACGGCATTGTCATTGCTAGCAAAACAAAGAAGAAAGAATTTGCTTTCATGGAGCCTCGAACCCGACCTCTTGAGAGATCGTTTTGGTACTGGGGGGCTTCCGGCGCCCGTGATAATGCAGAGGGGCCCAACAGCTACACCATCCAGCTAATAACCTGCCCCCTTTCCCTTGGGTTGTGTGAATTTACCGATCAATTAGGTATAGGTACCCCGCTTAATCCGTCAGGCCCGAAAAGGTCCCCAAAAAAATGCTTCGATGAAGACTCGAACCCATGCTCTTAAGAGACAATTTGGTACAAGGGGGCTACCGGCGCCGACAATTCATGCAGAGGGGCCCTACATCTGCACCATCCGACTCTAACCTGCCCCCCTTCCCCTGGGTTGCGATTTTCTCAGGCAACTTGACATAAGTACCCCCACTCCGACTTCAGGTCGCTGCAGCCTAGGATACTAGTCGACCACGCGACAGTCAAACCATGATGAGATTCGGCGACACGTCCTCCCTGACTGTTTGTTGGTGGAAAGTCAGGGTCCTAATCAAATCTGGTACCAAACACAGTGACTTATGCAGCATCTTTGACGATAGATTTGAAGGTTGTTTAGCAACAATTAGCCCTTTCACATCGGACATAAGTCATGTAGATGTCAAAAGGCTTTTTTGGGAGTACACAAGCAGGTGGGACGTTCAGCTTACGACAGACATGTTTTACGGTATAATTAACCCCTCAACCAAAGCTGTATTTCATATCTCATCAATAGGCCCACAGACAAGAAAGCTTCACCATTTGCGTAGATCTCCTAGGTAATGAACCAAAACCCTCACAACCGGATTGCATGATCCTATCAAGTGATGTCCAACCGTGTCCATCCTCCATATCTAGTGCCATACGCATATGAAACCCGTTCATACTAATTGCCATTACTGGGTGTTCATGCGGAGGAATTCGGCCAATTCGTTGTGTTCGTAGGTGCGAAGGCCAAGTCTCTCCTTCTCCCTGTTTACGATGGGCCGGACGATGGCCCAGAGCTGCATCGTCACAAGAGAACTGTTAAGGGAAGTATCGTCTTCTTCACTCTCCTGCTCCTCGGCAGTGGTGTCAGGGGACTCAATCTTGTCGACAGTGGCGGCGCTGGCGATGGCGTCGTCGACAGGCGAGAGGGCCCGGCCTAGAGGGGATGGAGCGAACAGAAGGTCGGATTCATCAGGGATGGCGTAGAACAAGCCGACCAACTCGGCCTTAGATGCGATCTAAGCATCTATGGCCTCGAGCATGGGACTGAACACGGGGTTCTTAGCAGCCTCGTCGTCGGCAGCGTTGGGAGCGCGGGCGAGGAGATAATCTCTGCGAGCGTCGCAGAAGCGGTCAAGGAGGGCCTCGACCTGCGGGCCGTGGGGAGTGAAGACGTCCCATCTGCGGTTCACTCGAAGCTGGCCAAAGACAAAGGTCCAGAACTCCTGCTGGCGGTGATTGTTGAGGATGCGACGGAGGCTGGTGTTTCCCTTCTTGAGCTCGAAGAGATGATTTTTCGCCTCCAGGATGAGGCCATAGAGTCTCTTGGAGATTCTGTGGATGTAGAACTTGATGGCGTTCGGGTTCTTGGGGAGCTTGCGGTCGTTCTTCATCGTCTTTCCCAGCAACATGGCGCATGACATCTCATCGCCTAGAAGGAAGTCGCCGTTATCGAGGAACAGGAGCCCAGGAATCTTGGCAAGAACCTTGTGATTGAGGTTGCGCGCCCCGGGCGTGGTGAGAAGGGTGACTGGAGGCATTTTTCAGACACAAGGGGCTCGGACGACACTGTACGGCAAGAAAACATCAGACAAGCATTAATCGCAATATTTGGATGAGGCCGTAGCTTACCGTAGAATATCTGAAGATGGCTATAACCTGAATTTGGGTGCGCTAAGGCTACGATGACTCGCAATGCGAAAATTCGGATGGCGGACAACAGTGCAATGCAATAAGTAGAGGAGTTGGTGAAGCGACTGGTGTTATGAGTGAGACGCAAATCCAGAGCAGTACGGCGTTGTTGGCGGATGACGTAAACAACGGGAAATTCACAGTTCGCGTAGAAGGCCTCTGGCTGGATGGTCACGTGGTTTAGATGAAGTTATATTCACCTCATGCCCTTTGCGTATTCCTGCATCAGCGGGAGACAGATGGAGTGGTGCACCTTTCACATTCAGCTGGAAAGATAGCGTCATCACTCTCATGTAATATAGCTAACATGTTGAAGAAAGTCAGCAGGTAGCCGGACTACTGTAAGTCTTCCACTTTTCTATTACGCAGACAATAACCAACAGAATTCAAATGATGGCAACAGGTCTATGGAAAGCCCCAATCAACCCTCCTCAACAATGAGAGGTTCTCTGTAAAGCGCCTGGGATGTCCTCCGCTTACACCTCAATTGTGTCGTGAAGCTGGAAGCTAGCTTGATGCTTAGACTCGGGTGAAAGTGGGCTCACTCTAGATTTTTTCTCAGTAAAACCTGAGGCTATGTATCCCCAGGCTCGCAACGGTTTGTCTGAACTCACCAGTCTAATTGAACGGAGTATAACAAATAGACCGTGGTTCTATCATTTTCTGACGGCAAATGAGACCAAGCAAACATACTGATGCTCAGTAGGAGGTTCAAAGACACAAATGCCGCTTTCCTTCATTGGAAAGTCCAGCATTGCTGAAACAACAGACGTAAATCTATATTCGTGTTTGTGACGAGGATTAGAAGATAGAACACAACCACACGTCATGAATAGTCAAAGGCTAGTAAAGTTCCTAACAATGAAAAGCCTTGTTGACGACTGAGACAGTTCGCCACGAGAAACACTAGACACGACATCGCCGACTTCTCAAACCGCACATCCATCAAGGCAAAAGATCACCCAATTCGTAAACAATCCCAGATTGGGTACAAAAGTAACAAAAGGCCCATTGCATCTGTTTTGAGGCACGCTCGAAGCTGGAGTCAGAGTTGTTGTCGAGATACTGCGTCATGTAAATTCCTCAATACAGCGTAGACGGTATCTTCGACATGCCGTAGTTGCCAAGCCTTGTCGACTCTGTCAAAGAATAACGAGAACGAAGTCAATCGAGGTGGGTCGACCCGACTATGTACGCAGACAAAGATCAAGTTCAGATCGTCATCGCTGGCTACCGGCGACCTGCCGCGTGAGTTCTGTTCCGGGATACATCTTCGGCGACGTCGATTCTTAAACGGCGAAGAGCTAGTTGCCAAGCTGCCAAGGCGGCAAAGACTCAGCTTCCAACGGACATTACTTCATTTATATCTCATCATCTGCAGACTGTGGGATGCCGAAGCCATCATATCGCAGCCTTGAAGCTTACGGAGTTCCGTGGCTGATGGGATAAGAGTTCGTGGAAAGGCTGCGCCAGTCTGCCAGTCAACCCTAAACTCCGAGTCTCCCGCAGATCTGTCGTACGTCTCACACGAACTGCCTCCACAAGAACTTCCGGTGTGGGTACAGGCACCTCATAATCAACGTCTATCAGGCCGTCTCACCAGACCCCTCACATTCGCCAAGACCCAGCCACGCAAAGGCCACATGCAAAGTCACACAATCCCGGAAACATCACAACCCAGTAAACATTTCCCCGAAAGGATGGGGCCTCACTGCGGTTCAAATCCTTTCTAGTCTCCCTCGCTACACGAAACGAAACAACGTGAACAAGATTCAGTCTCTGAACCGCCACAGCCGAAGGAACGAACCGAAACGGCGCAAATCATCCAGCTGGCCTACACTTCTATAAGGGATATGCCTGGCGTCTGTCCCAGTCCAACAAAGAAGAACCCCGTACACGACAGCGGTAAAAGGAAGCTGGACAAGGGGTTGAAAGGGGGGAAATGCAGGCTTTGCAGGAACCCCACAACGGGAAGAAGGCGGATGCGTTGCAAGCTTACTTAGCGCCGAGAAACGCCCAAAGCTTGTTCCACCCGTGAAAGCCATAGAGAGGATGAAGTATGAGGGAGGCATGGAGGGAAGGGCCAAGGGAGTATGTGGTACCGGCTTGGCCTTTGCTTGGCGGGTTTGCTCTTGCAAAGTTTCTTGACAATATGGACGAAAAGGGGGAAAGGAGAGTGAGAGGCGGGAAAAAATGCAAGGCAGCAGTCAGGCGGGAAAAAGTCGAGACCAGTTCCTTGAACACGCTGCCACTGCGCGATTCACGGCGCCAATGCCAAATTGTTGATCATGGGTTGCCGAGTGGATGGTTCCTGAGATGCGCTTCCAGGGGGCACCTCGTTTATCACGCAAGAGGTGTGGGGGTGCCGAGGGTCATCCCTTCTTCTGCTCTGGAGAGAATGTTGAAACATGAAACAAGGGGGAATTCTCCTCGAGATGCACCAAACGAGTCAAGCCATGGAGAACTCTTGGGCTAAGAACTTGTTCCTCTTTACTCGACCTGAACGTGCAGGTGAGGCGGGGTAATAGACCGAAAGTCCGTCACAGAGCCTATCTCTAATTTGATAGCAATTCGGTATGCTGACCAACAGAACTCCTCGGATCGGGTCTGGTGACGATTGATTAGGCTCTGAAAAGGCGCGGTTAACACGGCGTTCGATATGGAGAACCTTTTGCAATTTAATGACTCTCGAAACTTGGCGCATCCGCTTGGACATCTTCTGCCCATCGAAGGGGGAATCTTCCACCTGGGTAGGTTGCCACGGGCATACCTACGGGATTAGTGGGTTATGAAGAGCAATGTGCCAAAGTGTGCAAAGACATTCCATTTCCCTTCCGCATGATCCAGTCCGAGCTCCGCCGCGCGTGCGTCTTTCCGCGGCATCTCCCACGACTCCAGGCGAGACACCGCACGCACTCTTGTCCATCAAGCAAATCCATCGAGATGGGATGCGCCTACTGACTGATGAGTAAACCACATCAGTCTTCCAATTCTGCAACACCGTTGACGACTCGGCGTATGGCGGGTAAATGGATGACGCCGGAAAATCTTTGGATGGAATGGGGTGGACGGGGTGGACGGTCAAAGGGGACGAATGTAGAAGTGGACGTGACAGATGGACGGAGAAATGTTCGATTCGGGGAACACATGCAAGCCGGATAGAAGGGATTGTCCCAGCTCCAATATGCAGCCCAGCGAGGAAAACGCGGAGAGACCCGCGCACAACCACCATCGTCGAAATAAGCTTTCGTAAGGCCCCGCTAGTCAAATTTGTGGTCTCTCGCGGTTGGGTTCACCCTGCAAGATCTCCAAGGGGGAAGCCGCCCAGCAAGCTTCTTCTCAAATATCCGTAACGCAGCTTGGCGAATTAGACCGAAAGTCTGCTCTTCCTTCTGACCCCTTATCCGCGGCTATAGTGCTTCCCAATACGATGATTCCGTTACCTTGCAGTGCCTGCCTCCGAAGCTGAAGGGAGTTGTGTGGGCGCGTGTATGAGAACGGAACTCTGCTCATCTTGGCCCCTTCAAGCCCGTCGACATTTGGCGCGTCGATTTCGAAAGTTGGGCTTCAGCTTTCACCATCGAAAGTGTCTTTTTCTTCGTTTTGAGGTGTCTGATCTTCTTGGAATGCTGACTGTCGGCACGGCAAGCGATTGGCTGAGTTTGTTTTGTTGTTCCTGAAGAGCTGCCCAGTCGGGCAAAATTGCCACTTGCCAGGCGATTCTTAGCTACCCCAGACGGTTCGTCGATTACAACCAACATGGTGATACAGCTTGGCAGAAACATGGAATGTTGTCAATGATAATGGTATTTCATAATTCATCGTATACATGACGCAGTAGTGTGCTTGCGCCTGACTGTCTGTCTACTTTTCTGTGCCTATTCGTGTGCTGAGTTGTTCGTGTTGTTATCGTGTTCGACTCGCAGAGCCCGTCCCCTTCTCCCCAACCAATTGTCCGTTCAATATGAGATGAGCCAAACAGGCATTAGACGTGTTCGTTTTTGTGGTCAAGATCACATCCGATCCTTGTCCTTGACCGGGTCTTCAAACATCCAGATGTTCGTGCTTTCAGGCCTTGCCTTGCCTTTACTGGATTGCGCGTACTTGTCGATAGGGCTTGGGTGAGACTTGTCGGGGCTCCGAATTTCTTTCAGCTCTAACCCAACGACTCTTTCAAGGTCCTTTGCTTTGAAGTCTCCCGTCATTGGTGTCCCGTCTTGTTGCCATGGTGGTGTTTCGTACCATAAGTCGGGATGCACCGTGGAATTCCGCCGACTCTTGTTGAATAATTTGGGGAACCACTGCTTTAGCTTTGCGACTACTCTGTTGAAAAGCTCTTCTGCCAACGGCCTGAATCCTGGGATGGAGAGTGCGATGAGCGTCGCACCGATTTCGGATACTTCAATGGCGAGAAGCGGGCTGTAGATCCATGACTGGTCTGGTTGCCATTGACCGTTGATAACTAAAATGAGACGGGCGATTGAAATGGCGACAACACTATGAGTGGTCAGTAAGTGTACGGTCGAAGGGCCAGCTAGCCACTACTCACAAAATTCCGGGCAGCAGAATGCAAGCAAGCTGAATCTTCCTCTTTCTTGTCATTTCCAACATCCATAACATCGCTACGGGTATTCCGAAAAGAACAAAGTCGCAAAGCAATGACACTGCCGAGTTGATTCCGTAGACAAAACCCCATGGAAGGCATTTGTACTGGTTGAATTGTGACTGCCATTCGTAGGGCCATATCGCTGTCACGGGAAGACAGTGGAAGATGATGAGAAGCATCTGTGTGATGTAGCCGGCGATCAGAAATAGTCCGGCTCCCTTAATTGCGAGGAGGAATCGGCTGTGGACGCCGCACACTCGGTAATAAAACGCTAGACCCGAAAACCGGCAAACGAAGAGCGCGCTTGTGTAGATCAGGTGGGCGGTGAAGTCGAGGATCTCTGTCTCTTCCAGAATATCTTGGGTCATGACGAATTGAATGAATTCAAAATGTCGACCAGAGCCGATGTTGATGAGGATGATGCACAGTGGAACGAAGGCTATGAACATTGCCTAACGCCGTTGTCAGCTTCAATACTCTCTCCGTGAGACCTGCCCGGCTAGCTTACCATAGATATCACTGCTAATGTGTCATCTATTCCAAAGCTTTTCCGTAGGAAGAATCGCGAAAAGGCGCGACCGTTGACGATTACCAACGTAATGGCGAACATGAAGATTGACGCATCCATCGAAGGCCCGTCTCTGTCTTCCTCCAAGTATGCGAGGCTGATTTCCGGTGGTACACGACCGGCCGCGACGGCCGCGGCGGCCTCTGAGTCGCCCATCATCTTGATGGTGACCGGTGAGATGTTGACAGTCTGGTTGAAGGTGTCATGCGGGAGGGAGAGATGTGCATCCTCGACAATCGGGAACAGGAACGCACAAGTCCTCGGATGATAAAGTGCTTCCCACCCAAAAGCTTTATGTTGTTGCACTTCTCTCTTCGCCTCTTGCTGCGGAATAATGCAACCTTGCATCTTGAGTTGGGATCTGATCGGATGACACAGATTCCCCAACTCTAAATCCAGCAAGGATGGGTAACGGTGTGGAAGTTGGTGTGGTGTGCCTGGCCTGGCGAGTGAGGCTGCCAAGAAGGTTGGCGCTTGTGTCTGGACTGAAGAAAAGCGTAGGAAAGCTTAACTTGAGCGTTTGTAACCAATGTCCGTGCCATCGGCAGTTAGCGGGCCTTTTGCTACAATTGAGCGTAACGGTGATGCGTGATGTCATGTTTCTGGAATGGAAATGGTCGATAAGTCGTATTCTCCTTCTGACTCAATGTTGGACCTTCTTGTACGGTGGTATCGAGGTTGATGACATATGGGTAAGGGGAGAAGGCTACTTCGACATGGCAGAGAATGGAGGTGTCACATACAACTTAGGAAACTCCCGTTAGCCGTGGCAGAGCTTCTCAATGGTTGCATTTCGGAAGCGAAAGGCTGAAGCCAATCGGGAGATCACGTACGCGATCTCCTTGGACTTTCCGACAACTGGGGATGACCTTTGAAGTAGTCAAATCCCGAGTCTGAGAGGTTGTCACGCTGCAGGGGTCCACCCATCTTCCAGATCAAGTGTTCGTTGCTTCGATTCGAGGGTGTTGTCGAAACGAGATAATCGGTACGTGGTGTGGGAAGCACCGAAGGTTTTTGTTCGGTTTTGCCCATTATGTCTTTTGTTAAGGGCCAATTTGGACGACTTCCGTTGGAGCTTCCAGACGACTCATTGCGGCGGCAGATTCTGACAAGAATGTTTTGGTCCTTTGTGCTCGTGCCATGAGGAACGGTTTCTGGCCGTTGGCGCAGCGCAGTGCATGAGCTCCTTCGTTCTCTCGTGGGATATCGGACGAGTGGAAAATTCGTCTCGAACGTCTCAGACGAACAGCGCTAGCGCGATTAAACTGAGTCTAAGCATCACCGAACAGCGAAAACGAAGCCAAAAGACTTTTGCTGCCCATTCCTACTCTCAGAAGATCTAAAGAAGCCCGGAGCCGCCGTTCTACATCTCTGGCTCGCGGGCTCCGAGTCGGCCGTCGTCCGGTCTCGTTGGGCAAGAAAAGAACGCAGGTGCCAAAACACTGAAGCTGAATAGGGTCGGGCTTCCGAATACGGGAGTCATAGATTTGGGGTGTCAAGGTTGAGTCTGACTCTTGTATTTGTGATCGGTGCACGCTCCCGGGCAATGGAGTTCTGACAGCCTTGATCTCAAGGGAAAGGCCGCCCGGAGTATTCGATCAGCCTCCGTAAACTCCGTGTTAGGCATTCCGGGACTCCTTTTTGGATAGGTATCGTGAGACTGTCTTCCGTACTCAGATGGAAGGTGAACTTGACGTGGGTCGCTTCCGATGCCATTGCAGTGACTCCCGCCTGGGCGATGCACCTTGTAACCAGACAGCTGGAGCGACAAGCCTGTTTCCGGACAGTTTGTCGAACTCTTCCCAGTGCGATATTTGACCCTTTCAAATTTTGGGACAAACCGTTGCAGAGAACTTGATATAACGTTCCCTATTCAACAAACGATTAACATCATGTTTCTAAGTGACAGATATCAGGGCAACTGATCATCCTCATGTCCCTTTTGAACCGTCTAGTAAGTCGCTAATGATCTGAAAACGCTCATATATCTCGCTTCAGATTCAACAGACCTCCAATCTATTCTCCAGGTCAGTGGTAAGATGGCACGGTATAGTAGGTAGATTGTGGAGGAAGTTGAGCCAAGGTGGATTTGTAGGGACGCAGCTGGTTGTTGAGGTATACCAAGCCTTGGCTCCAGTGAAAAGGAGGCAGCTTTTCTGTGCGGTTCCACCTCGGTTGAATCTTCGTTATTAAGTTCAAGGGGAAAGAATGCGGACTCTGTTGATGAACTGCTTGAGGGAAGGTGTGATATATTATCCAGTCAATCAGCTCCTTCCCAGTTAGTGAACAGTGAAGCTGTTGATCCCATCATGAGGGCCCGTGCTTACGAGTTGTTGTTGCCCTGACTCACTCACTCATTCGCTTCACACACCACTCCTTACTGCGGTCGTGAAAGACGCAGAAATCCTTTTCTTTTATTTATAAAAGTTCTTTCAGACCGAACTTCACAGCATTCTTCTCGACTCACTTTTCAGGAATACCATAATATGCACGCTGAGGCCACGGGCCTACGTCAACAGCCCAGCACGTTCAAGGTACGGTAGTCTACCTAACACTGTAATTCTTCTACTCACCAAATATCAATCAGATGAACGATCTTGTGTCCCTGCCGCCTGGCATTAAATCCGAAGATATCCCTATTCCGAGCCGAGAATCCAGTCGCGAGTTCTCTCTGCCGTTCAGGCCTTCTCCAGCTGTAAGTCTACCTCGTCGGGCTCATTTCGACCAAAAATTACTAATACTGCCTTGAAAAGCCGTCTAATCGATCAATCTCCTTGAACATTAGAAAATTACCGGGCCCCCAAAAAAGCGCCAAGGGCGCTCATATCGACCCAAGGCTTCTTCGAATCCAGAAGTACCTGAAGTCATCATCACTGAGCAGAACTAAGGTTCTATCACTGTCTTCGGTCTCAACCAGGACCTACTCTTCCCCGGCCCACCAGCCCTGCCTATTGAGCCTACCGACATGCCGTCCTGTGTCTGCTACAGAGTTGAGCACCTGTTCTCCATCGTCTTTGGAGTTCTTTATGCGAACAAAGACTCAATCATGGACTGGCGTCAGTATTGGAACAAATTACAACGATTCCTTTCCAAAGAGAACCCTTTGTGGAAGACAAAGGTCACTGCCAACAAGATCCGAGACCTTGTTCAGCTTTTCACCAATGCGCGGATGAACTACCTTGAGAATCCATCAGTCTCGAAGCTCCCATACTTGAATGATCGCCAGAACTGTCGACTCCTCAAGTCAATCGATCGATGTATTGCGTTCAAGGCAGACAATTTCTCTACCACTGACGTGCTGCAATTTGAGGCGAAGGATTGATGGATGAATAGCTATTGGGTTAGAAGATATCAACGTCATCGGGATGTCGGGCCCGTTCACCCAGCATCTGCCCCTCCGGCTCTGATGGCTCCTTCGACTTCAATGATGAACACAGAAACTATCATTGCTTTCATGGCCACAGGTCAATCAAAGACAAAGACGTGGCACTAGTTACATCTTGGCTGTTTCGTACACTGGAGACTGCTTCGTCCATCACTCTAGTTACTATTAAAGAATGAACTATTATACCCCCAGGCATGAAGGAAAGGTAATTTGGTCTCACTATATGGGATAATTTCCACATTCATCTTCTTTCACTTCCTCCAGCGACCTTGTCTGTGTCTCTCATATAAACTGAACTCCTTCGCAATTTCTGCACCGGGTCCCAGCTTGAGAGGTCAAGGTCAGCAACAACCGATAGGGTGTCCTCATCGAAAGGTATGCACGCGGCCAGAAGGAGTACCTTGCCAACAAGGCGAACCCGAAGTTCTCGCAGCTGTCTGATCACCAGAACTCCCGCCTTCTCAGAGCATTTGACCAATGAATCGCGTCTCATGAGCTGGATGCTTCGGCTTTCCCCAAACATTTGTGAGTTGATGCCAAGAATCGTTTGGCTGAGATACATCATATCAGGACCACAACGGGGTGGGCGTGAACAGCTGAACAAGAGGCTTGAATGCGTGAGAACATCTCTGCTAGTAGTTACCAGCTAGTGGAAACAGAGGTCTGTAGATTGGGTGCGATACCATGCCATGGTCTTGGGACTAGAAGGGTAATCAGGAGAGGTTTTTAGTCTTTGCGTCTTAGAAATTTCTCTACATGCGTCGTCTCTGAGAGACATTTTAGAAGGATGCCATCTCAACGACAGATAATGAGACTTGCGTCTTTGCATTGTACAGAATGGTCATGTGAGTCTCTCTCTTGCCTTAGTCTTTGAAAATGATTGTCAGCGGTAACAGCAAGCCGTCAGTGGAAAAGACGAGGTTCTCATGATCATGGTCAGCAATGCAAGATGAATGGGATCTCCCCGCCCCGGGTTTGATTCAAGATTAGAGGAAGGAATAGAGGTGTCTCTTTCTTTATGATCTACATCGGTCGTGATGAATGTCGGTAAAGTGCTGTAGCACCAAAGACACACGCTTCCTTCACGAGTATTCCCCTTTCTGTGCTTGCTATGTGCAAGTTTGTACCTTGGCCCCTAGAAATTGCCTCACGTCCTCCTTGCATCTTCAAAGAATGTCTCTACCTGCCTCGAAGATAAGAAGGCCGCCATTGGTTCCTTCCTTCCTCCCTCAAAAGCAGATACATCATCGTGAAAGCCTCCCCTAACATCTTATCATCTGCGCTTTTTACCGTGGCGCTCAAGATAGCCGTTGATGCTGCTGAGCGTTTTGGCTCTACGGCGTTCAGAACGTCTAGACGTCTCAGCGTACTCCAGCGACGTCTCGTAGGCTTCACGTTCCTCTGGAGTGGCCTGGATGGCTCTCTGCAGGCGAGCCTTCTGCTCCCGGTCTTTCTGAGCCTGCGCCTCCTTCTGCAGGCGCTCCTTCTCTGCCTGCTCGGCCTGGTAAATGGCCTCTTCACGCTTCTTCTCCTCGATCTGAGCCTTACGCTCCTCCTGAATCTTAGCATGGAGGTTCTGAATCTTCTTCATCTCCTTCTCCTCCATATCGCCTGCGTTATCAGCCTGGGATATGCCCTGGTGAGCGGGGGCGGCGGGGTTGTCATGGGTAGTGCCTGTGGAAGATCCTGTGGCAGGGCCCGGCTGGTTGTTGTTCTCGGGGCCCATCTCGTGAGGGGCAGTGGGGTCGGCAGAAGTTCCGTTGGAAGCCATCTCTATCATGGGACTGTCTGATTAAGATTAGCTTCGGATGACATTAATTGCGCTTGTAGCGATCAAGGGCGGTAGACTAACCTGAAGTCAAGACGATACTCGAAGTCTGCGATAGTCGCGCGGAAGTTGAGATGGGAAAGTACGAAGGTGTTTGGGTGAGAATCACTCCGGTGGGAAAGAGATGATGGGGAAATGGTTGTTCTCAAAGGTATAGAAGATGAGACTGCTGATGTGTAGGATAGGTAGGTACGCCGCGGGGCGAAGAAAAGACTGCCGCACAGAAGTTGGAGAGATGTGAAGAGGAAGGGTGCTGTTCAGCTGAGCCGTGACAGAAGAAGAGCGAAGTAGTTACGCGAAGGTGAGGATTATAAAAGAGGGCCCAGGGCGGTCAAAACTATGCAAGCAGTAGGGCTCAAACCATCTAGAATATGCCTCCTGAATACTCCCAGCAAGATTTTGTTCACCGTTGCCCCACTTTGCCTACAGGCAAGAAACATGGTCAGGTTCACTTTGGAAGGCACCAGCCCGGAGGCGCCTTCCTTAATTACGGTCCAAGGTTTAGCTCTCTGAAGCTTTAGCTCCAGTCTATCTTTTTCATCAACGGTATAGGTACTCTATATGGAACTTCAAGTATCATAAGAGAGAAACAGTCGTCAACATGACTTCTGTATTCTAGAGGTGCTTTCGGATTACCGGGCAGATTCTGTGACGAACCAAAGCTAGCGTGAACAAAACAACTGCTCAGAGGACGAACAGCAGCTCGAAGTCGGCGAATTGGTAATCGTCTACCATTCAATTATATCTTTCTTCGTCTCAAATACTTCTTCAATGTTAACAGCGCTGAAACTCTTGCCGATTTATGTCCGTCCTTCGAAGCAAAGGTGCTCACTCAAGAGCTTTCAGGTGGATGAAGGGAAAACAACATCTTGTATCAATCCCTGAACCATTAATGACATGAGGAACACACAATTGGTTTCCGAAGTAAACGACTGATTGCCAAGCCAAACCTCAAATAGCGAGTACAAACCAGGTATCACCAAAATCGCGAGACTGGGCTCAAAGCGACGGAACTATTCAATTCTTTGTCATATCTTGCAGAATTTTGTGTTTGTCGATCCTCAATGCCGAGCAATCACGTCATCCCTGGTAGTAGACATTTCCGAAGGCTTCGCTTACACGCTATGAATGGTGGAAATACGTTCACCCCAACAACCACCGAACCAACAATACGTTAGGTAATAGTTTGCATGGCAACATTGCAAAGAGGATCGCCATCCCCAGACCCCCCACAACATGTATCCACAATCTTCTCCGGATTCCGCACTTTGCTTGAATACTTAAGGGTCCGTTTGCCAGAATTAGAGTTGCAAGCAAGCAAACGATGCATCCCCATCCCGCCGGCTTCTTGGGGCAAACTGCAGTATCTTTACGCATAGACGTTTTCCGAAGCCTTGCCCCCGCGTTCTCGCGTCCAAACTGCAGATGGAGAAAGCGGCTTCTTCGGAGCCAGGGCCCGAGACCCGCCAGAATGCTTCCGGACCCCACCAGCCAGACCGGTTCGAGGAAAGGCGCATTTCCTCCGCATCCCACCCCCGCACGGATCTGGAGAACTTCCCCGAGCGGATGGCCGCCTCCACGCAGGGTCTCTCGACAACGACATCCGTAGCTGACACCGGTGCGAATCCGGATGACTACCCCGAAGGTGGGAGGCAGGCTCTCATTGTACTCTTCGGGGCTTGGTGCGTTCTGTTCTGTACTTTTGGCTTGGGAAACAGCATTGGCGTCTTTCAAACGTACTATGTGACCGATGCCCTTCGCGAATACAGTTCATCCACCATATCGTGGATTACCAGCTTTATGCAATGGACTTTGAACTTCATGCCCATCGTCGTATGTCCAATACTTCTCCGACCCGAATCAGTTATGATCCACTGACAACTAACGCAGTGGGGATTTGCCTTTGATAAATGGGGTCCACGGTGGCTTCTCATCTGTGGATCGATAACCTACGTCTTTGGCATAATGATGGTCTCCCTGGGATCCGAGTACTTCCACTTCTTCCTCGCCCAAAGCATCGTCTGTCCCATCGGCGCCAGCGCTGTAACGAGCGCGAGCATGTCATGCCTCGTAACATGGTTCCATCGTCGTCGTGCAACTGCTTTCGGCATCATGATGTCTGGGTCCTCTGTCGGTGGCGTCATTTTGCCAATCATGATCCCGCGAATGATTGAGAGTGTTGGGTTCCCGTGGGCGATGCGTGCCGTTGGCTTCATGTTTCTCTCTCTTCTGGCAATCGCGTGCTTCACCGTAAGGTCCCGCCTGGCACCTCAGACGAAGCCCGTGGACATGAAGGAGTACTTCCGGGGCATTCGGGAACCTACAATGATGTCCACTGTCTTCGGTCTTTTCTTAGTCTTCTGGGGTCTATTTGTTCCCTACGCCTTTGTTATCTTGCAAGCCAAGGCGCAGGGTATGGACGACGGTTTGGTCATCTACTTGCTGCCCATCATGCATGCCGTAGGGTACGTCCTAAAGCCCCTCTTCAGGGCCTTCACAACTCCAAAGAACCCCCACTGACCTCTCAATCAGCTTAATCGGGCGTGTCATTCCAGGCCTAGTAGCCGACAAGATAGGCCGCTACAACATCATGATCATCCTCGCCACCCTCACCGGCATCGCGTGCCTGGCCCTGTGGATCCCAATCAAGAGCAACGCCGGCATCCTAGTCTTCACAGCGGCCTTTGGCTTCCTCTCGTCAGGGCTGACCTCCATCGGTCCGACGCTGATTGCCCAGATTTCAGATATTCGAGAGATTGGCGCCAGGACTGGCACGGCTTTCGCGTTCCAGTCGTTTGGCGCGCTTACGGGGAGTCCGATTGCGAGTGCGATTGTCGATGCGCGGGGAGGGGATTATTTGGGTCTGCAGCTGTTTTGTGGGTTTTCGATTCTTGCTTCAGCGGGGGTGTTTGCTTCGGCGCGGTACGTTCAGGCTGGTGGGTTTGAGCTTAAGAAGGTTTGATGAGGATGGTTACGTTGTCATTGTTTTGGATAGGGCATCCTTAGGTGGACGCGTGAGGTCATTGGATCATAGACCGTCAGAGAGGCAGGTATATTGACTGATAGACCAGGAGCTTTTGCTACCTATCACACCCATATACTCTAATTAGACCAGTTCAACGCCTAATAGCCGTATTCTCCAACCCTTCCTTTGTCCGATGGTGCCGACATGTACAACAGTGACCCTTCCATCTTCCTCCAACGAGATACTGGCATCGAGACGTATTGGTGTACAAATCAGAAATCAGGGATATTGTGCTTCTCCTTGTAGTCATCAAGGTCATCGGCAGCCCACTCCACATCCTCGCCGCCTCGAAGAGCCTCAAGCTCATTCAGGTCATCAACGATGTGGGCGAACAGCATTTCCTGGCCGGAGATGCTACCGTGCTGCTCGGCAGCCTCCATCTCAGCCATAGCATGAGTCACAGCGCCAGTAATGGTATCGGTCAAAGAGGCAACCACGGCGGGGGCCGTAGCCTCGGCGTTCTTCTCCATGAGCTTCTGCTTCTCATCCTCGATCTTCTCATACTTGGCTCTGAGAGCCGTGATCTCGGTCTGGGCCATTCGAGCAGCTTTATTGGCCTGATCGGTCTGCTGAGTGATGGTCTCAATGACCTTGTCCTTGGCGTTGAAACCATCGAGTGCGTCCTGAATTGTCTTGGTCACGGCAGCCTGGAGCTGGTCCGCCGAGGTCTGAAGACCGTTGCTGATCTGATCAATCTGCTGGTCGCTGATCTGGAGTGCAGCGAAAGCATCCCGGATCATCTGGTCTGCAGTAGACTGGAGATGGTTCGCCGAGATCTGGAAGGCAGACGGGACGGTAAGGGCGGACTGGGCAGGGGCGACCGGAGCAGCAGTAACAGCCGGAAAGGAGCTAGAGGAGCCCGTTTGGCCAATTCGATCGACATTGAAGCGATCGACAAGGTCGAGAAAGGTCTTGTAATGCTCGCGGTTGGGAGGAGCGGGGGTGACGGTGAGTTCGTCGATGAAGCGCTTGCGAGCGTCTCCGATGGCGATCAACGCAGCCTGGACGTGGTGATTCTTGACGTCCAGAAACTCGGTCCATCTCTTCTCCTTGACCAGGCTTCGTAGAGCGGGGACCCAGGCCAGGTGGTGATTCTTGTCGACCAGGGCGTTCTTGCCGTTGCTGGCAGCAGCGACGACCTTGAAGTACGCGGCGAGAAGATCAGCGCCACGGCGCGCAATGAGCTTGGCCATGTCGCGGGTGGGAGCGTCATTCGCGTAGCCCTGGGTGAGGAGCTTGAGCTGAGGAGTGCCCGGCTGCGCGATGATGCGGCCGTTGTCGCCGACTTCGAAGATCAGGCCAGGAATTCGGGTGAGGGCATTCTGGTCGGCGCAGATGGGAGCTGCCTCGCCATTACCCATGCCTCCAGAGCCGGAAGTAATCAGGCTGCTTCTGAACGACATGATCTACATGGGATTAGTACTCGAAGACCGGACGGAGAGATCTGGGAGAGGGATCAAATTACTCTAGTCTTGAGTCAGGATGGTTGATGCAGACTGATCGATTCTCGGTTGAGTAACGGTTCGAAGAAGGTCGAGTGAAAAGGATGAGAGAAGTTATCCAATAGAGGAAAGGTGCGATGAGTTTTGCGATGCGAGGTGATGCAAAGTCGCGGTGTTGAGGAGGATGGGTGGAGGGGAAGGTGTTGTGGGAAACAAGAAGTGAGGTCAGGAAAGGTTGAATGTTGTGGGAAAATTTGAAAAGTTCGGAAAGCAGGACTGCAGGCGGTGGGAGAAATTATTCAGAGCAGAAGGTGCGTTGACCGCCCAGACTTTTCAGAAGTGAATATGATTTGGCTCATCTAGACGCGTTGGACGTCTTCGCTTGTTTTTCACCTGGTAGACCGCGTCGATGAGTGAAATTAGGAAGGAGCCTTTCCATCCACGAGGTGATACCTGCCCAAGAAGCTCCCAAAGTCAAAAGATCCTTGTCATGGCCAAAGTCGAGCCAAGACTTTTGCAAGTCCAGGTTTGCCAATTTCTTTGTCGATTCATACAAACAGATCTTGAAGTGTTGAAGCTGAATGTTGGTCACATTACACTCTCTCAATCAGCCTTCAATCCGTCCAACAAGCGACTTCCTGTACGCCAAATAATCAATGCCATCTCGATATCTCCAGAAATCTCTGCAAACCTCTTCTGAGCTTGCCCAGCTATGTCTATTGGTGATTCGATAATGGCTAAGTATTGTTGGAACACGGTTTACATAGATCTCAGAAGTCCCAGGGAGCTTCGGCGTATGGACTAAGGGACGGGAGAATGGGATATCCCTGGCGCTATGGCTTTGTCACTCGCCTGTAATTTACGATTCTGCTCCTTTGCTTCATTATACACATCCATCATGTCATTTTCAGATCCCCTTTTAAGATCTTTCCCGGGAGGAACATGTCTTTAGCCTTTGTGGCCAGCATGACGAGGAAGAACGGTCACTATAGGATCATAAGGCGGAGAAGCAAACGCTGCTCGGAAATGAAGTTCAGGCTAGTTGGCTTATCGTACCTCACCTTAGTTAACACGATGTAGGTTGAACCAACAGTCGAGGCAAGAGGCAATCCATGGCCACGTGACAAAGTAGAATATTCACTGGGCAGTCGTATTGGGACTGCCTGGTATTCCTGTGGAGTGGGGAAGGGGGGTATATAGGGACCAAAAATGCTCAAAAAGTCAACCCAGTAGAGAGGAAGATGTTTTCACCCTGGAAGTGACTTACCGCCGGAAGATGGTTGAGCGGTTGACGTCCCGTGGAGACTGGCATTCGATTGCCCAATTTGTATGGCCATCTGGAAATCTCGTGGGTTCGAATCACCCTCAGCGCTCTGCGTCCTTATCTTTTTTCCTTCTTCCTATCCTTTTGGGCCTGGTTCTCTATCCTGACTGTTTCTTTGAAGTGTTGCCGACATTCTTGAAAGACGAATGATACTGTTCTTGTTTTCTATATTGCTTAATGTGAACAGCATTTCTGATGCACCCACCACGTGGATACAAACCCTCACGTACGTATGAGGTTGACCAAAGTCCCATCGCTTAGAGATGCGCACCGAAGAAATAGTCCGAGGCGTGGGTCCAACTTTACCCAAAAAGCCAATACCCCCGGCCCGTCATTTCCTTGGCTTCTGCGTGCCGAAGATCCATCTCCCGATGAACTCTTCTCCGTCTTGACAAAGGCAAATGGAACATCCGCATGATGTCTTCCGAGTGTCCCTTCACACCAAAAAACCCGATAGTATGGATCGCGTATCTTGCCATGGGAGTTTCAAAAAGATATTACCGCAACGCCAAAAGAGACGCTCGGTTTCGCTCCACTATCAACCTTCGGACTGAGGCCTTGGGCCTTGTGGATCGCCATCTCCACGAATCCATCCCGCGAATGTAACCACATCTCCGCCCCTTGGAGAATTCCTTGGGCCAGCAATCTCGAGAAATGGAGCCCCGAGAGGATCTCGACCTCTGGGCGGCCGCCATCAAAAACCCCAGTCGACAGCCCCCGTCATCACCGGATACTTAACAACCATGACCCCGATCTCCGTCAACCACAGCGTCGCACTCGATCCGTCCTCTTAGTCGAATCCCTCAACCTTCGGCCGTCCCTCTCCGCACAAAGATGGTCCGCCTCTCAATCGCCTCAGTCCTCTCCCTCGGTGTCGTAGCCACACAGGCCCTAGCCACAGGGAACTGCACCGGCGTCAACGCAATCAGCACGAAATGCGCCTCCAAAGAAGCCGCCCACACCCGCGACTTCTTCTACGTTGGAGGCCGCTACATCGAGAAAACCTCGGGAAACGTCACAGTCGACCAGCTCTACGTCGAAAAACTAGTTCCTGTCACCACCAGCCGGACCCGCCGCCGTAGCACTATCACAACACCAAAACCTATTGTCTTCTTCCACGGAGGCGGAACAACAGGCGTAACATGGCTCAATACACCCGACAACCGCCCAGGCTGGGCAACCTACTTCCTACAACAAGGCCACACAGTCTACCTCGTCGATACCGCCGCCATCGGCCGCTCGACAGAGAACAACCTCGCGAATTTCACCATGATCGCCGGCACAGCGGCCGAGGGCGTGGAAAAGGGGTTCACGCACGTCGAGGCGTACGGCGCCTATCCGCAAGCTGTCCTCCATACCCAGTGGCCCGGCACTGGGCAAAAAGGCGACCCAACATTTGAGCAGTTCAAAAAGACTATCCTCCCGCTGTCTACAAGCTGGGTTCCGCAGGAACACGCTCTTCGCGCGTCGGGTTGCGAGCTTCTTTCGCTGCTGGGCGAGAAAGCGTATCTCATCTCGCACTCCATTGGCGCCCGGGCCCCGATTCTTCTATCGAATGATTGTCCGGAGTACATTGCAGGAAACATCAACCTCGAAGGCACGACGGTCCCATTCTGGTCATTCGAGAGCCGCTCAGCGACGAACGCGTGGGGTTTGACGAATACGCCTCTCGACTACGATCCACCCGCCGCCAGCGCGGCGGAGCTCGAGACCGAGGTTGTGGGGAACGATACGCTGGCGCATCGGAGTTGTTACCGGCAAAAGGAGCCGGCACGGCAACTCCCCAAGATTGCGAGCGTGCCGTATTTGATGGTTACGACGGAGGCGAGTGTACATGTCACGTATGATCACTGTACTGTGGATTATCTGAAGCAGGTTGGTGGGCAGCCGGAATGGATTAAGCTGGGGGAGATTGGGATTCGTGGGAATGGGCATTTCATGCACTTGGAGAAGAATAGTTTGGAGATTGCGGCGGTGGTTAACAACTGGATTCAGCGGAAGGAAGGGGCTTGATATCGTGAGGAAAAGAGCGTGGTGTCGCCCTTCCCGAAAGAATAAGAAAGATGGCTGAGTTGAGGAAGAAAATCCGAGCCTGAGAGGCCCATGAGTTGCTTCAAGCCAGCATGCGATGTCGATGTGTAACTATGATGCTATCGAAAGGCATTAAGTAAGTTTCAGGCCTGAGGGCTATTTTCATAGATGGATTGTTCTGATTTCTCGTGGACAGGAGAGGTCCGCGCTCACCACTGACAGAAGACAATTGTCAGAATGCTGCAAGACCATAGTACCTAGTCTGCTAATTCTATCCCAAAAGCTGGGGTCATAATATCGAGAAGGGGATGACATGTAGACCGGGATAGGCCTCCATGTCATCGGGGCATCCAGACCGAATAAACTGGTTCTTGGGGTCGAACGATGTGAGGGCTCATGAAACCGTCTAAATCAATTCAGCAAATATGGAAAAGAAAATTCCAAGCGACAGAAGAGCTATTTCAAAACGAAAGTGATGATGTATACCAGCGCGGATTGGCAGAGGTCCGGGACCCGGAAGATGTACGGCGCTACATGCGCCGATGTAATGTAGGCATGTTCAACTGCAGTAAGGGGGAGAATAGGGGGTTCTTGAGCTGGTTTGGGCTCAGCACCTTGAGAGGGGGGACAATTGTCCGCGCAAGGAAGGATTATGGTAAACATTGTAAGGTGAAAAAGTATAGGTCTGAGTGTGACCATCATTGCTTTGATTCTGTCTGATCTAAATACATATCATACTTGACACGAATACATAAAATGAAATGAAGACAACGTTGTATAGAAACAAAGGGGATAGAAATCGATTTTGACCACCCAGGGATATCACACGCTAGATCCTAAAAGAGTATATATATCATCAAAACACTTCCGTCATAGTACAGCTTCGCAAGACAACTGTTACATCCGGTGCACCACCGTCTGCGACCAGATCGGCAGGAAAATGAAGATCAACGTGCTCAAGCACGCAAAGACCGCGCCGCCAACCATGGCCTGAAGGACAATCTTATGCTGAAGCCTGCGCAGATGGACATCCTTGACACGAATCTTGCGATCAAAGATCATCATTCGCGAGACAAACTTCATAAGACCAGAACGTTGCGATAGAAGAGAGGCGCTGTCGTCGAAGCGTTCCCAGGGCAGAGGCTGACGTCTCGTGAAGAGCAATAGAAAGAAACAGCTACCTCGCAGACCTGAGAAGATAAGCGACATGCCGACAAACCACATTGGCCAGGGTGCAAAAGCATTCCATCGGCTGTTGGCGCCCATGAAGGGAACAAAGGCCTTGAGGAGCACGCAGAGGAAGCCTCCAATGGTGAGGGCGATGCCAACGCTGGTGGCCATGCAGAGAGTTTCGAAGGTTCCGTTGGAGACACCGAGGCGGACAAAGTTACGGTGGGAGCAGTTCTTCAGGAGGCCATATACGTGATCTGCGATTGGCTTGAGGTGAATCGGGTCGGAGGAGTGCTGTAGGTTGAGGAGGGCAGTATCGCGAAGCGCAGGCGGGATGTTGAGCTCCTTCTCGGCTCCAGGAACGAGGAATGTGTTCACGACGGCGTTGAGCTCGACGCGGTATGCCGAGTTCGGGGCGATGCGAGTAGGGATAACGGCTGGGACATTGTTGGCGCAGATGGGTTTGGCGCAGGCGTTGGCCCAGGACTTGATACGGTCGCGACCGTTCGGACCGACTTTGCTGTTGGGCCTGCATGCGGCTTCCGGAGCGATGAGGTGAACGATGTTGGTCATGGTCTCGTTGGCTTTGGATAAGTTAGATACTGCTGAGGGTGTAAAGAAATGGAGGAATAACACTCACCTGCTTCGGGATCACACTCAAACTCAGACATCTGGATAGAGGGAAGCTTCATGCCCGCTGCATCAACAGCACTATCTGCCATACTGTCTCGTGATGAAGAAGACTGGTCGATATCCTTCTCGATGGGGAAGTTGTTGAGACTTCCAGTTTTTGCGTACGATCCTTCATAGTTGCGGAACCTGCGAGGACAGTCAGACCATGGCTCATGCAGTCGTGTCAATGGCTGAAGTGTCACTTACCAGACGAAGAACTCAAGATTCTCGGGCGAGAACTCGATGTACTTGAGGTACATGTAGAAGTCATACAACGACATTGGCGAGCCTTACATAAAACAAAGATCAGCTTTTGGCCATATAGTCGGTCGCAGTATGGCTTGAGAGGCATGCTTACAGGTTTGGTTGTTCAGAACTCTCTCCAAACTTAACCGTACTGGAATTGGACTCTTATCTCTCCCGTCCCTACTCAAGGGCCTCCTTCCCGTCCGAATGGCGGTGGCATACTCCTTGAAGTCCCTGTACTCCGGCTTCTTGTACCAAATCAACCAGTCGGGGAACAGGCGTGAGATCTTGGATGGTGCCGCCGACTTATCCTCCTCTTCCTCCCGCTTGGTATTTCGTTCCTTGGCGGCGTCCATGTTGAAGAAATCGTGCTGAAGAATGTACAGATGCTGTGTGTACGACCGAGTGGTGTCGAAGTAACATAAGGTAGCAAGGACAAGGGACGCCTTGACTTTGATGGCGGACGAACCTTCCCCATCATATATCAGAGTCTTCTTCATTTTAGCGCCATTCTGTATCTGCATGTGCCGCGGGGCGCTCGATGCAGGCTTGCAGCAGATCAGACCGGGAGTCCCACGGCTGATTCCATGTCAGGGCCCTCTGGCTCGACCAGGCAGGGAGATAGCTCCACCTACTCCAGGTCTGCTGCAGACAAACTACGCACAATGCACAGACAGTCCCACCGGTACTTCACCAGGGAAGAACGAGTCGAGCGGCGTGATTCGGTCAGTAGCATCCGTTAGGGTGCTTTGCAGACGCCCAGTCGGCATGGAAAGCCTTTTGCCTCTCTCCTCCGTCTAATTATGTCTCATGACGACTGGCCAATGGCGGTGGGAGCGGAGGAGACGCCACGGCCGGCTGGTTGTGAAAGAGGCTTGCGCCCTTGAATCCAAACTTGGGATGCCTCGAGACGTAGGGGATTTCGGACGAGTCGGCGAACCAACCGATTCCAGCGTGGACGAGTCAAAGCGGCTTGGTGTCAAGGTACCTTTTTCTAGTATGATAGTTAGCGCCTTGCACTACTCTGCGTTGGGCTGGAGAATTCCTCACGCTGGTGCCAGATTTTGTAGCCAGTGCTGGTGCTTCATGGCAATGTATTTGTGGAGGAAACCCTTGGATGATTGAGGACCCCTCGGATGCGGCGAGACAGGGAACCCGCAGCGTTAGTTTCCTCCGTTGGTGAGGTCTCGCAGCCAATCCTGCTTGTGTCCGTGTTGTGGAGGGTTTAGGCCGATCAGAATCTTGTTTGTCTTTGCTAATGTCGACAGGAGCAAACAAAGGAATCGACAATTTGACCCTCTTCGCCCCCGTAGCAGACTCCCAATCCGGCCGCGTTTGCTGTACGTAAGCTATGAATGGGCGGGCTGTCAGATTGTGCCGACCCAGTAATCAGAGTTCGAGGCATGCTCGAAAACCGGGGATGCCAGAGTCATTGTCAAAGGACGAGTAGATTAGCGGAGCAAAGATCGGAAATTCTTTCGCCATTGTTCGCATCCTCTTCGTTGGAAAGGTGAGGCGGTATAGGATTTTCTTCTGCCCGCCGAGGATGACAATGACCAGGACGAGGGCGGGTTCGAGGACGACGCGAACGCACACACACATAATGAACGCAGAGCAAGACTTGGAGAGATTGCGGTGCTCTGCAGACGGATTCGGAGGGCCGACGGAAGGATTTGGTGATAGGCAAGTCTCGGGCGGGACGATCTCCTCGTGGGATTCTTCAGGTAACCGGACCGGCCTATGCTGCTTCGCGCCTTAGCTTCAGAGTAACAAATTCTTATCGACGGCGCCAGATGCGGTGATGCGGAGAGAAGCGTAGGAAGATGCAAGGTTACCACGTGGGAGAGAGACGTCGAGCTTGGAGACGCAGGGGTCGCAACCTAAGAGGTGGTGTGCATTGGTCGTAAGGGAGAAGGCGGCGCGGCACTGGAGGGCCGGGGGGCAAGCCGGCGAATTGAGCAGTGAGCACGAGAGATTTGGGAACCTGCGCAAGGGCCGCCTGCCCTGCCTTAACAATTTTAGCCACAACACTGTAAGGTGCGGTACGTACTGCACGTACCTTTCGATGATTTCGCGATACCTCCCCTTTCGGCCTCATTTCCTGCCTGAGGTGACAGGAGTTGAGTGCAGTGACATCGATAAGGTACGTATTCGGGCGAGGTATCTTATCCCCGATGATCTTCGGCTTCCTCTTCCTCCTCCTCCTCTGCAACCATCTTCATCTGCGTCGTTTCGTGTCCATCTCCCTACCTGAACCCAGCGTCACATTTCAGCTGACAACGCTGCTGCAGTCGATCATCTGTGCCGAACGCTTGGGTTTGCATTTCGCATTCTCTCCGCTGCATACACGGGCCATTGGTTCTCGCCCCTGGAGTACGACCGGGACACCAACCAATTCTCTGGACGTGCAAACAGGAACACGGCCTTCCGCACCAACAACGACGGCCATCCCATCACTTGGTCCAAGCAGACCAGACAACGAGCAGCAAGCAGCAAGCAAGAGCGTTTGCTCTCTCAAGTAAGGAGTATGCTGCCGATCAGATCAATTGGGATTAGCCTCGGCAAGGATTATGCAGCTATCGTACGAGTGAGACACGAATTATCGATTCACACCAAGCTGACTTTGCCCACTTGCTGGCACTTGAGAGTCATGCAATTTTCACCACTACGGCATATTTGCCCTTTTCTCCCAAGTCTTCCATCTCTTAACCTCTCGGTCGCCCTCTTCACTGGTTCCTATCCCTTTGAAGATGTCTCTCCCTACGTCCAGCTAACCAATATCCTCCATCTATTGAACTAGGTCACGCACTTCACCTGAGGGGTAACACCACACTGCTGCTTTAGCTTCGAGTTGCATGGGCTGATAAGCGGCGGCCCGAGTGTTTTTGGTCTTCAACAATTAGCTCGAACCTTTCCCTTCTCCACGTTGAGAATCCCTAGATTGTTCTTCTTCAGCGATCGGCATGCACATTTTCCGGACCTTCAGCTCGCGCTCGCGTCGGTCAGCACCACCTCTTTCTTCAACTTAAGCTACCCGTACGACATCTCAAGTACCCTCAGCGGCAGCGACTTCAGAAGCGCTGTGTTACCACAGCTAGCGCAGGTTTGGCAACGCGGTCACCTGCGTAGCCTGCGTAGGTACCACCGGCCATCACGGCGGCGGCGGCATACCGCGCTTCCGTAAACGGTGTAGGCCTGCGAGGCAATCAAGGCCGGTTTGTGCAACCAACTGCCTCAGCCTTTTTTGTTGATTTTGACTCTGTGGCTCTATCTCGTCTCGTCTGTCTTTGTCGTGACTGCGGAGGGTGCTACAGATCGTTTCCCATTTGATCTGTCATACCCCGCTGCATCGGGGATGGCGTCTGCGAGATGGCTTCAAAAGAGTTTGCTTGTTTCTGACTGAGTATAGCCATCATGACGTTGGAAAGCCACCACAGATCGAACTGCCCCCTCTCATCTCCCTCGGTAGTCGGCTGTCAAACTGCGCGGGCTGCCTATCCTGGAATGAAGCCTCTCGGAGTTGGCTCGATCCCGGCGGCGCCGCCGCCACGAGACTAGGAAGCCAAGGCGCTCCTGATGTTGGCCTTTTAGCACGCCGTCCCCTATGCAAGCGCATAAGCAGGCAAGCAAGCTGATGCATATTCTCAAAGCCACGCTGTGAGCGAAGGATCTTGACAACCAACGGCTCTCAGGGCTCTCTATCCTTAGATCGCGATCGGACATTCGGGTCACTCTTTTCTTTATTCATGGTTGAGTCGTTCTCCTCTCTCGAAGGGCATTACATGGCAAGTTGGGGCTTGAGTAAGCTCATGGACAACAGCTCCGGGCGGATCGCTGAAGATCCGGATGCGTCCGGTGATCACGTCTTCAAGACTTGGCTAGTAACCACAATCCGGAAATCCAGTAGGTATCTATCCTCACTGGCACGAAACTCAAGCCACTTCAAGCCCTTTCTAGTGGACGGGACCGATGAAGTTGACCGTTACTAATCGTCAGCATTTTCCTTTTGGGGGGGCCTGCGCGGGTGGCCACTCAGGTAACGATCCTTTTGTGGCCCAATGCCAGGGTTCATTGCCATGGTTCATTGCCATGGTTTATTGCCGTAGTTAACACAAGATAAGCTGCATGACAGTCGCGGATGCCCACGAGGATCAAATAATGACCTCCTGCGTGCAGAGGGCGAATAGCCGTACTACATCTATTCCCGTCCATTGTACCCAGTCGGGCGTACCTTCTAAATCGTGTGTGTCAGGTTGTCACTACAGCTTTCGGCCGGCCCCCAGAACCTCTCGGAGCCGGACCCCATCTTCTATCCGCCGTCGCCGATCCCGGCTGAGTCTTCGAAACTCTTCAAGTCGGCCCATCGTTGCGAGCAACTTAAGCTCAATTGCGTTATCCGTATAACACGGAACATCGACCATGGACTTGGCGGCAGCCCCCGCAGCGTCGCATCAACCCGTATTCCGGGCAGGGGCCGATGGCCTTTCTAGGAAGGCCTAAGCCTGCCGATGCTTGGCTTGGTGACCATCACCAACTCCATTGCGATAGACACCTTCCTCTTCAAGTCTCGCAGAAGATGGACATTTAAACCCGCAGCCCGCTGTCTTCAGTGCCTGCTACATTTCGGAGAACGAGCGATCTGCTGAACCGCACGACTATCGCTGCCGCCATGAGATTGAAGTCCTTGCTGACATGCTATGCCGGCTTGGTTACAGCATCACTAGTGCTAGCTCAGGAGAAGTGCGGTTCAGAGCAGCCAGGGCCCGAAGCCTATCAAGCTGCCGTAGCTCTTCGCGCAGCCCAGCGTGCAGAAGGGCTATCAGCTTCATTCATCCACAAGCGCGCAGAGGGTCTGCTCGTTCCGACGTATCTGCACGTTGTCGAAGACGAGGCTCGTAGAGGGTTTGTTACCGATGCGATGATCAGCGATCAGGTGCGCCGTAAATACAAACCTCCTTACAAGGCAACAAAGTCCAGAGATTGATCTTGGATAAAACAGATGAGAGTTCTCAACCACACCTTCGCCCCTCACAATATCCAGTTCCTCGTCAAAGAAATCACCCACACAGTCAACGACGCCTGGACAACGCAAGCCCGCATCAAGGAGAAAGCAGAGACACTCCGTCGAGGCGCCTATGACGACCTCAACATCTACTTCGAGACAGGCATGATGACCAACCCCAACTCCGCGACGGGAATCTGTAGCTTCCCCGTTGAGGACCCCTGGAACACGGGCATTAATGGCACATCGTGGTATACCTACGACGGCTGCCACGTCAGTGTCGGCACGATGCCCGGCGGGCCGGGGGTGCCGTGGGACCCGGAGGATAACTTGGGCAAGACGGCGACGCATGAG